TTCATCATTGGGGTCAAATCTTTTTCCACCAAGCCATTTCTTCAGGTTTGAGAACAAGAAGTAGTCACTCGGAGCCAAATCTGGAGAATAGGGCGGATGAGGGAGCAATTCATAGCCCAATTCATGGATTTTTGCCATGGCAAATGCACATGTGTGCACCCTTGCATTGTCTTGGTGGAAAAGTACTTTTTTCTTGGCCAAATGAGGTCGGTTTTTTTTCAAATCGTCATTGAATCGGTCCAATAAGTTGGCATAATATTCCCCATTGATTGTTCTTCCCTTTTGAAGGTAGTCAATGTGGATTATTTCGCGTGCATCCCAAAAGACAGTCGCCATAACTTTATTGGCTGACAAACCCACCTTGGCCTTCTTTGGCGCCGATTCCCCCTTAGAAACACACTGTTTTGACTGTTGTTTGGTCTCTGGTGTGTTGTGATGGATCCATGTTTCGTCCACGGTTACAAAACGGTGCAAAAACTCCTCCATATTGCGATTAAACAACGCCAAACCTTCCTGTGAAGTTGTTACACTATTGCGTTTGTGGTCGACTGTGAGCAATCGTGGCACCCATCTTGCGGAAAGCTTTCTCATGCCCAAGTGATCATTCAAAATTGAAACCAGCCATGCGAGATCCCTGCGGCTTCCACAATCTCTTGCACTTTCAATCTTCGGTCGGCCAGCACCATATCGTGAATTTTTTCGATTGTTTCGGGTGAAGAGACCTCAACTGGGCGTCCAGGACGTTCGGCATTTTCAGTACTTGTACGGCCACAACGAAATTCAGTAAACCACTCTTTTACCATTGAAATCGATGGTGCAGAGTCCCCATAGTATTTATCAAGCTTAGCTTTGGTCTCGGTAATGGTTTTTTTTCGCAGAAAATAATGCTTAATAAGCACACGAAATTCACTTTTTTCCATTTTTTCCTCAAATTACTGGGTAGTCTGATAAAGATAGCTGTCAAACACAAACTAACTGACGCAGCAAGTTCAAATTTTGACAGGAGTCAACTGACAGATGCCTGATGACAGGAGTAGTGTTGCTTTTTCAGTAAAGAGGTCAGAAATTCAAAAAGTCACGGACTTATTGACCCGCCCTCGTATTTATGGTGTGAGTGTATGTGTGTGTGTGTGTGTGTATATGTGTTGTGTGTGTGCGTGTGTGTTTATCTGAGTGTTTGGGGGGTCATGAGAGGTATTTTAAAAGAGACTCTGTTTGGAAGTAGTCTTGATTTTGTAACCACTCGGTCACTTTAGACTTTACTTCATATATGTTAAGATCTCTAATACCAAACTTTTTATGTATTTGCTTATATAAATTAGTGCTTTGCGTATGGTACTGGTGTTTAGCAAATGTGGTATTGTGTGGGGTGCCTGGGAGAAGGTTTGTTCGCTTCGTATGGTCCGCAGGGGGTAGTCTCGAATGCTTCCTAAGGATCAATTTGAGTACAAAGAGCTGACGTACTGTTAGTACTCGACATTCTGAATATAATTTTGTAGTTGGGTATTTCCTGGGCTTTTTGGTTATAACTTTAAGTCTGGCTCTTTGTGCTCGTTCTACTCTCAGAAATTTGGTTTTATTTGCTCCTCCCCAAACAACGATACAGTATTCTATAATTGATTTGCATAAGACATTTTATACTAAGTTTAATGTAGCGCTGTTCACAGCCTCCCTGAGTCTCTATTAAAAATGTGAATAAGACGAATTACACGAGTAGTCAGTGCTTCCAATTGTTTATCCCATTTTAGTGCAACGTCAATAAGGACACCTAGGTACTTAACGCTATCAGTCCTACTGAGAGTCGCGCAAGAACAAGACACGGATTGGTCTGTGCATGAATGGGCAGTTAGTGAAAAAGAAGAAGGCGGGGAGGTGTAACATCGGATGGCAAAGGGAATAAAAACAGTTTTGTTTAAGTTTAGGGTTAACAAGTTAGACTTTAACCAACTCATTATTTTAGCAAGATTAGTTTCTGCCTCTCTTTTAATAAAATCCCAAGTAGTTCCAGAATCTATCTCTATTATTGCCGTGTCGTCGGCATAAGCGTATAGCTTGGAGTTTGGAAAGTCCATCGTGCACAGATTATTAACATATATCTGGAAGAGGTTAGGGCCGTAATACCGTAAGTCAACTGCTCTTCATCACTCAGATACATATCAATTTTAACACACTGGGTGCGATTTTTTAGGTAATCCTAAAAATATGTCTAGTACAATGCTTCTCACTCTCACAATGCTCCATTTTCGAAAGAAGTTTAAAAGTTAAAAGTATACAATGTATGCCAATATGTGTTTAAATAAGTCTTTGTACTTAGGCAAAAAACGCTCGTGTCCAAGTCTAGTGTATACTAAGATTTACTAGTAAATATGCCATTACACGGACTTTTATGGTTTCACACATAAATCTGTAAAATTGTAATCGATTTGTACTTATCAAGAAATTATATCGATATATCTTAAGAATCGGATATTGTAGTAATCGATTTCTTTGACCCCATCGCTATAGTTCAATTTGTCAGAACTGTCAAACGGTGCCTCTTAGATTAGATGGACTATAATATTTATACATACATAGATAAGATTATAATAATTAAAAAGCAGAAAATAAAATTATATTTTTTATTTTATTTGATAATACTATTTTATAATGTTTTAAAAATCCGTTACAGTTATAAAAACAAACCTCGAAGTTAAAATTAAAGTAACAAAAGTACCAAAAGAACAAAATCGAACGGGCAAGCTTCTACAGGAGCAAGTTTGTGACGACCTTTAAAGTTCAAACGCAATATTAAGATGCGAAGAGGCTTTAATACAAATTTCTTTTTATTTTTCAATTGCAGTTTGTGTTAGTATTAGGTATCCGTATAACTTTACAATATTTTATTGCTGTGCCATTAGACGTAGCTGGTCAATCTAGAAAATCATAACTCCGAATGATAAAATAGTCTAATTTTTACACACCTACTTTGCTGGTAAACAACCGTCATGATAAACGCCCGATTTTAAGAGGCGTGGTTGTTATTTAGTATGGCCATATCTACAGATAACATTATATCAACAGGACATTTGACGTAAGTAGGTATTATTAGGTAATAATAAAAAACGCGTACCTATCCTGACTCATGGAATGTGATGAAATGTTCTTGGTAATTAAACAACATGGTGTTTACAAATAGTTGTATAGTGCAAACTCGTAAGCGACTTAACCTATAAAAAATTTCAGAGAGTTTTCAAAGGGATGAGACTGCAATATTAGCCCCATACGTTCAAGAAAAAAGCATACAGGTTTTTAAAGTGGGGCAACGCGTATGCGAAAACCTTAGAGATACAAGCCTTCTTATGCTACGGTTTTCTCTTAGTAGCGCTAGTACTTTAATGAAAATGCAAGTATATTTTGTATTATGCATATCCTAAGTAGGTTTTGATGAGTTTGATGGATAAATCTTACCCTGCTCGTTGCCGATATTTTGATTCTATTTAAAGTACATATATAAGTAGGTATATCCAGGGGCGGGCTTTGGGGGTGGTGAGCAGGGCAACCGCCCGTGGCCTCGCTCATACGGCTCGCTCACGCACTTGTGCAATTACTGGAATTCGTCGCGTTTCATTTCGCCTGTCATTTTGACAGGCTTGCAGTGTCGAGAGTCGTCTACTTATGTTTTTATGTTCGAGTAGCAGTATGGGTAGCGTTGCATTATTTGTTTCAAGTATCATCATTAAAATTAATTCCACAATGACAAAAGCCTCGCAATGAACTACATGCGATTCCCATCAGTCAACGTATGACGTTATCGTTTTCACTATCGCTGTTTCCCTATATTTTGTGCTACTCATTATGACAGTAAACTGCGAAACCTCGTTTTCGATGTAGAATACTATAAACGTTACACAGATATGATACATTTCATGAACATAGATTATATTACACACTAAAACCTGTATAATAACCTTTCTGATGTTCGCTATTGAACCGATTTTTTTATAATGTAGGTAATTACCTTAAACTGCATTGGGGCAAAAAACGGGCCTGTTGGTTTGTTTAGTGGTTAGTGATTATGACTGGAAAGCCAGAGTTCGTGAGTTCGATTCCCACGCAGTACAAATATTTGTGTGATGAGCACGATCATCTATACAAATAAATAAAATTTACTCCATTACATTATTTTACTTCCAGGTAGCTGTCTATATAAGGAGTAACTTAGGCTCTTTTTCCTCTCAGAAAAACCCTTTAAAAATTTGCCCGATGCGGGAGCACACACACACTAAGGCAGCGCTTTTCACATTCGTCGGAAGTCGGGGGTATATATCTATGTGTGGGGGGAATTTATCTATTATATGCAGGTTTAAGGTTATTATAATTATATTGTAAAATAGTAGTAAAAAAGTAGACACTTAATAAATGAGAACAAAATTTTAAAAAATAAACTCAAAATTGAATATTTTACATTATCTACTAAATATTTTTGTTGTTACATAAGGATTTTGTTTTATTGTTATACTTGGGTTGGCCAACCTTCAAATACTTTTACAGAAAAACATTATCTGTGTACCACTTACTTTTGTTTAATCAAAATAGTTTAGATACTACCGGATTGTTAAATTTTAGTGTTATACGTACTTAAACTTTCAACGAAGACAGACAGTAATATCGAGAATTTAAAGGCATGTTCCAGAACAATAACTCAAACGTCACGTATTTTACGGGAACAATGACAGAATAATAAAATAAATACACTTGCTTTTTAAAGTCAGTGTGTTATCTATATAGATAAGAGACGTACCCTTCACTACAGTACTCGTCACTAGTTAAAGCAAAGGATCCAATCAACTTGTTTTTAATTAATTCTGGTGTGAGCGTCAACTGACTCAATCTATAAAACTGACGCGCCTTCTCTTACAGCTCATTACATGTACGGACATCGATCACTAAACATTGCTGCTAAAACCATATTTTTTTTACTTACTTATTAATTATTCTCAATTAATAATTGGAGTGTAGTGATGGCACCTATTAACGCGAATGATATCAACGATGCGAAGAATTTCGTGCCGGCAAAACAGGTTTTACCTGAAGTTGAGACTGACAATGGAAATGGAAAGGCCTCATCTAAAGGGTAAGTGATCTTGAATAATATAACAACAATAATATGTTAAGGTCATAATAATAAAAGCCTAGAGACCTATAATACCTTGAATGTACTTTTATGATCAGCAACTAACAACAACATCGCAACTAACAAGTATGAAAATCCTAGAGTGGCGTTGTTTCATTAAATTTAAAATTGGCTATTGTTGATTATTTATTTTTAATTTGATTTTTATCTTATGTTCATAAACTGCTTTCTAAATCAATAACTATGAATTATTATTTAAAATTGTTCAGGTCATGCAAATTTAGAGGATCGTGTAATTTTAATGTAATTTTACAAGAATTTAAGTTCACCTAATTTATCAAATTTCTTTTAATTTTATTCAATATGATCTTTTTTTACGAATGTATAATAAATGTTCGTCACTACCGCATTATCTATGAAATTGATGCATATCTCAAAATTGAATATTTCACATTATCACTATATTGTAGCCTTATAGATATTTTTTTGTTGTTACATAAGGATTTTGTTTTATTATTATATTGGGCTGGCCAACCTATAATTTCACATATATGTGAATTATAATTATGTCTAAGTGTTGTGTATGTTTATCAAAATTATAGAAACTGTTAAATTTAAAAATATTTAAAAGTAATATAGTGTTTCAATTACATTGACAATTATGTAATGCGAATATTCTAAAAAAACATCGGGTTTCTCTTGGAAATTTATTGCAGACATATTTTATGTCACCAAAGCTTGCAATTATCCTTTGTACAAACAGTTTACAACAGATTTAATTACTAAAAATTACTAATTATTACATCATGATTATCTTTCCAACTTGCTTCTCCGCTGTAATAGGAAACAAATAAAAATAATGCGTAGCTATCCAATGATATTTCAAGGAAACGTTATATTCATACTGCACGCACAAAATATTTGTTCCATAAAACTATACATGATAGTGTTTTTGTTTTTTTTAGTACATCTATTAATGCATTTTAGAACAAAACATACGCTACAAGTGCTATAGAAAATAATGCATAAGAGTGAAAGAGACAGCTCTTTGTAATCAGTACACAGACGATGTTCTTTGATTTTTTTCGAATTAATACCTAAGTACGTGTGCGCGCTTTTTGTGGTCCTAATTAGGACCCTGACGATTTCTGCGTTGGTGGCGTATCTACCTCTTGTATGTAAATAATATCAATGTAGCTATCTATAATGGATCGAAACGATAAACTCAACAAGGGTTAAACGACATAGCAATAACAATAATCAATAGTGTGCCATCGTGTAAAATTGAACTTGTTGCGTCAATCAGTCGCATAAATGAGATCAATTGAAGAATACCTACTTTGATATTATTTCTACAAGTACAACATTGACAGCTGCAAACATGGAATTGCCCCGGAAATGTTGACAATAGTATCAATAATATCAATTACAATACACAAATGTACAATTTATTTGTCGACATAATTCCTTAACTACAAATCTAAAAAAGGTTGGAGTTCCAAGGAAGTTTTTATTACTTATTCATAAGATCAGTATCATTAAATGTTAGTAAATTACCGTACCGGTAAAATATAATAATATTAACCACGGAAAATACCGTCGTAATATTCTATGACAAAACCAAAATAACAGGTAACATTTAATTACTAAATAAGAAATACTAAATGGCTTTCCTTTTGAAGTAATCTTTGTGTCTATCTGTCTTTGAATCTCCGAGTTTTCTGAGCTAGGCGTAAAAGAGCAGGCTGTCAAAATATGGGGTATCATTTTAGTAGTTTTAGTTTATATAATAGTGACTTCCAGTCTTTTAACTTTCATATAGCTTATCACAAGGCTAGTAGAGGTCCCTTGACGAAAAAATAGAGGTGAAAGCCAATTTGTCATTTTTTTTCACACAGCTAAGTGTTTAACAGTATCCGTAATTGAACAATATCCTGCACATTCATCAATACAAAGATTGCAAGTAAAAATATAACTTTTCAATGTATTTCCTTATGCTTCTCTGTTGTTGTTAGTACTCGTAAAATCTGACAAGTGTCCTACAGTGTATGTTTTTTCCTTCTAATTTTAATTTGTAATCTATTTTTAATTGTTTAATGTTAACCGTGATCTTGTTTAATGTTTTCCGTGATGTGTGAGCGTGTAAAAATTAAAGCCTACCACGCATAATAGTTTCAACGTGAGTGTTACTTTTACTTGAGTGAACTTGAAATAGAAGGAACAAAGATCTCTCTATCGTACCAGGCTATTGTACTGCCGTACTACTTTTCTTGGTATTAATTACCACAACAGTGGCTGCTTTAAACATTGAACATAGGCAATAATGAAATTCAAACATTGATATAACGTAAACGTAGCAATGGGTGCAATATTTAAAATACCCTTTAATGCTAATAGAGGGCTGAGTAATAACTACAATCATGTTTCATCATCTACACAAAGGTAGACTAAGATGAAAATTGTAAGTTACGGTAATTGCTAGTTCAATGTTGAAAGTTAAACGCTTTTTTAATGAAATGTACGTACCTACTTAATAACATAATTTAATTGCCTGCACTGGCGTTACGTGTAAAAGATGCAATTATATAGTTGGTACATTGGCAAAAGGCCGCATTTTATTATAGTGTAGGAATTCTTCATGTTCTACTTGTACTATCAAAGGCAACAAAATCTTGCCAATTAATATTAAATGTACAGTTATGCACTTAAGTAATCAATATCTCTGCTTACACAAAATATACAATAGGCGTAAATTATTAAAGGAAAAACCAACATAGAGTCTACAATTCAACATCACAAACTGTCGAAGTCGCATAATATGTTGCCCCCATCTATCACGTGATAAACCCTTCACCCGCACGGTGAATCCACGGAACGCTAAGCATTAGGTCTTCTTTAATGAAATCTGAAAACCACAGTAAATATTTAATTTATAAAGAACGTAAGTACATAATAAATCCAGCCGGCTGAGTCAGTACCTATAATACGATCGATTAAATATTACAAGTTTTATGTCCCATACTCAACATTATTATAAATTTACCCTCAAAGTACTACCTTATCATAATAATAAAATTATATTAATGCGAAAAATAGACAGTAAAATACATAAACTTGCAAAAGATTCAACCGAAGGTCAGCAAGGCAAGTTTCTGTATTTTATTGAAAAATATAGAGGAGTTTGATGATACATATACCTACATTACATGTCATTTTCAACGTTAATAGAAAAGTAATCAAACTAATTTCACAAATGTGATGTTTTCTCATAAAAGTTTAAAATAAACTTTACGTTCAAATATTTATTTGCATTAAAAAAGAACTTAGCTAAAAAGAGTCTTTTCTGATAGGCTAGGCTAGATAAAAAAGGCCAATCTAAGCGTAACGCGAACGGCAACAGTAACAATGATGATTTTCCATCGAACGACAAATATTTTAAAACTATTGATAAGATTTATGTTCAGAAGAAGATGTCCTATGAAACTTACAAACTACGAACTTGAAATAAAAGGAACTAGAATATTTCTATCGTCCAAGACCTTCACTTGTTTTCGCACAACTACATGTGCACAACTACTTACACTTGTTTTCTAAGTATTTTTACACAGCTCTAACTACATTATACATTCAACAAGGGCAATAATAAAATACAAACATGGACACAACGTTGAATTGGCAATGACTGCTATTTTTTTTAATGACAAGCAAGCAAATTAACAACTGCAATCATGTATCATCATCTACACGAAGACAGCTCAGATAGCAATTGCAAATTACAGTAATTGACATCGAGTTGAGTGCTTTGAACATTGAGTGCTTTTTTTATTTCCTGAATTGGCATATATGTATGGAGCCTAATATAAAATTAGGTTACAGTAATTTGTTAATAAATCGAGATGAGATACGAAATAAAAAGTTATTTTACTGTCTATTTCGTTAGAAACAGTGTAAAAAAATCAGAAAGGAATCAATACAGAGTTGGTGTTTATGAATACGAAAAAGCCATATTAAAGCATCTACTTATATTATTTCTTAATCAATAAATTGTTTTTCTAATCCATATTATTTCTTAATTAAAAATTGCTGATACCATCCCGAATAATACGACTATCACTTTAATGTCTAGTAGTTCAGAAAACAATTATCTTCTTCAAAGCTACAAAAATTATACCATTATGACCAAGGCCAAGTTAGCGTAACGCGCTCATATTGAAATTATCTATGGTGATGGTGATTCCGCATCAAATGCTTTAAGACACCTGTGTTCAGGAGAAGATAGCCTTTAAATGAAAAATTAAATACGGTGACAGGATTTTACTTTTGTCTAAACCCATATTCTAGTGGCTTTTTCTACAATCAGAAAAGTTACAAAAAAATCCAACAATAAATTAACCGCCAGATGTCTATCAAAAAAGATTAGGTATACAATAATAAAAAAGCAACATACTCGTATAATGATAAAAACGAATTATTCCTTATCTGCTGCCACAATGCATTTCTGTATATTTAGCTGGCTGATAAAATATATAAAACAATTTATACTGATAGTATATTAATCTTATCAAAAATCAAAATCCTTTTTTAATTAATTGAAACTAGTCGATGATTAATTAGTTTATTTTAGCCACAGTTAAGAAAATTATGTAATGTAACCGTTTAGGTAATCATTCGACTTAAGTAGTTTATTAGTAAATGAGTTAGTTAACTACCATTATAATGCATTTTTGACAATTTTTTCAATTTCTTAATATAATAATAATGGCTGAGCGGCATATGGGAAGTTATGTCATATCTTCGAGTTGCCGATCCCCTAATCGCTAAAATACTAAGGCGTTTAACCATTGCGTCCTACCCGTAATGACATACGGTGCCGAGACGTGGACACTGACCGTTGGACTGGTCCACAAGTTTAGAGTCGCTCAGCGTGCGATGGTGCATGCGATGCTGGGTGTGTCTCTAGTCGATAAAATTCGAAACGATACTATTCGACAGAGAACTAGAGTACCTAACCGACAACGCGCAGAGAATCAGTGCGCTGAAGTGGAAGTCATTTCTCAAGGACTGATGGTCGCTGGAACCGACATGTGCTAGAGACCGTGATTAGGCAAACATAGTGTAGGGCGCCCTGCGGCACGATTGACCGACGACTTGAAGAAAATAGCTGGCGGCGGATGGATGCTGATGGCCCAAGACCGGGATGGTTGGCGCTCCTTGGGGGGAGGCCTTCGTTCAGCAGTGGACGGCAATAGGCTGATGATGAAGTTGTCTTTTACGCCTTTCCTACTCAACTGTTTATCATTAAATATTGGAAACACATTTACAAAAGATACAAACAATACATACATCCAGTAGAAACCAACAAACAAAAACTACCATCCTTTTCTCGAGTGAAAATTACCTAAATCATACTTACATTTACGCGAGCAAATGATAGAGATAGAAAGACGCCACAGATAGAGTTGAGAGACAGTCTATTTTTTATTAAGATGTACTTAGTTTGATTTGGCGCATACCTAACTCATTAAATTCTCTCATCAATGATTCGCCTTGAGTTTTAAATAAAGTCCAACCCGAAGTCAAGTGCTTTGTTTGGTAAAAACAAATTAATAATGATATGAAATCATCATCTCGGGCCATGTGTAGTCCAAGATGTGAGTTCAACGATTTACAAATCATCATTGATGAAAAAATATGAACTAAGAAAGCAGAATTTATTTTGAATATGTTGAATACGAGTAGGAGGACTTAAAACGCATACCGCAAGTATCTTACTCGTATTTAGTCTAGTGAAATGCATCGAAAGTATTAATTAGTATCATCACACATACGATAAAAACAATAATTTTAAATGATTGCAATATATTAAGGAGAGACCTATGTCAACAAAACAACAGTCTATAATGTATAGACTTGATGATGACAGTTTTTGCTCTGTGTATTTATAAGAAGAAAATATGGGATAGAACGGACGTACACTCCGAAGTATATGATGATGATATTTATTTCTTTAAGAAAATCTTTTCGGATATTTTTACCATTCGGACTTTACAGCTAGATGGAGCCCGCATTGCCTAAGACTCACTCTGGAAAGCATTACACTATGAAAATAGCTAAAATACACCAGTCTAACTGTTTCTACATCGGTTAATTGACGAATTTTATAAGCCGCGTATGCTGCAGAGCTGAGTCTATTCGACTATCTATCAATATGTGGGCCTCACTGCAGTTTAGAGTCTAGAGTTATACCCAAAAACTTTGTGGTGTCCAGAAGATCCAACTCCTTTCCATTAATTAGAACACTGGTTTTACCTGCTTAACATTAGATGTAAAAAATCTAACACATTTAGTTTTTCGTCAGTAACTGATTGCTATCGCTTAAGATTAAATAAAAGTGAAGTGTCATCCGCAAATAGCACTATCTCCTGATTATCATTTATCAGATTAGGTATAAAAAGTAAAACATAAGAATGAAACACAATATTATTTTTATTATCCAAAATATTTGCGCATTTTAGCTTATTCGGTTTGAAGTTAGCTACATTAGATGTTAGCGTTTATTCATGCATAGTAGAATAGTTTTATCTAAGTACCTATGTAGACCATACTTTCGGAATATGTCTGTGGCCTGGTGTGTGTCCACCTGTATATCAGTTCTAAAGCTATTTTCGTTTTGTTTCAGGTATTCATATGAAACGTTACAAGAGACCGCAAACTTCTTGCTGTCTCGAATTTCGGAGATACCCAGCATTGGCGTAATATGCGGTTCTGGGATGGGTTCGTATTGGAAAGAGGGTATATATTATTTTGCTTTTACTATACAGACTCAGCAAAGAGAAATCTATGTAGAATGGTCTTTATAGAAAAATATAGGTAGACTCTTTTAAAGTCGTTTTTTAACCAAAATCAGTACAAACTTTCGCAATCATAAATGTTAACGCGACTATTATCCCATCTCTATCTAAATTTCCCTAACTATTATCAACTTTAGTCAAAATAAACATAAAATGTTCATTGATTACACATATATTCATTAAAATTAACCCGACATTTGCCAGCTGATTGATGAGAAACGCTCAAGGAATGCTTCACTAGTCAGTCACGAGACCTGAGTAGTGCATGATAAATTAATGTTTGTCTAAGTACATCGCCATAACTACGTACCTACCGTGGGTATTATTATTATTTAGTTAATCTTTCGTTTTTTAAACTAACTTCTTTATTGAAGCCTCTGGGAACATATTGAGATATTAGTTTGACCTCTAAAATAATAAACTTAATTTACTAAGTTGTAATGAAAAGAAATGCTTGGTTTAGTACCATTTTACATTATTGTTTCAAATTTAGTTTTCTCTTTGCATAGCTCTGTTCAAAGCACTGCCGCTGTTCAAAACTCAAAATTAATAAGCACATTAGTTACTAACAAAAAACTATCACTTGTCTTTCTATTTTATGGTGTAATGGCTATTGGCATACTATATTTGGTGTGGTGGGCGTCGTTTGTACCTATTCTTGCCTAGTTTTTTTTAAATATTAGACATTCTTCTTTTAGTAAAATAGTCACAAGCTAGAAAGAACATCCTTTGTATAATGAGAATGTTTTTTTATATATTTCTTCTTTCTTATTATTTTCTTATTAAAAAGACAACTCCCGCATTAGGAATACATCCTGTGTCTTACAAACATACATGAAACGAACACAAAGAACACCCAGACTCAGAACAACAATTTGTGGATCACACAAAGTGTCGTCCCGTGTGGGGTTTGAACCCACAACACTCGACGTAGTAGGAAGCAGCGTGGCGACCGCTTAAACCACTACGCCATCCGTGCAGTCAATTTAATGCTTTATGCACACAAAAATGTAGAAAGGTAGACTTAATATCATATGCATTCTCTGCCAGTCTGCCTTGGGGTGATGTAGAAATGAGTGATTAGGTGCACTAAGTTCGAGTAAAAAATTTCAAAGAAAATACAACAAGCCTTGACCAAGAAACACATTTACACGAAAAACGAAAAACTGAGGATAGAAAGAGAGAATATAAAAATATATTTACATATCCATTCAAACTTTTTTTCAAAGACAACTCATTCAAGACTTTACACACATACCTATATGAAACGGACACAAAGAACACCCAGCCTCAAAACGACAATTTGTGGATCGCACAAAGTGTCGTCTCATGTGGGGATCGAACCCACAACACTCAGCGTAGTAGGAACAGGCGTGCCGACCGCTTAAACTACTACGCCATCCGTGCAGTTCAATTAGTGCTGAAAACCAATTTTTGCAGGCTTTATAATTGTTGGCTAATTTTCTATACACTGTTCTGCTTCCAAACACACATTTGAAAGAACCAATACTGTTAACATCAGAAATTGTATTATCAACACTAGCCCCTGGGTGTATGTTCAAGAGCCATTCTATACGAGTCTATAAGACATATATTACTAAGATTAGATTGATCAAATCTAATCTAGGTAGTAACCTGACCATTCCACAGTTAGATCTGCAAATATTCCAGATTTTTATCACAGTAAAAATATTTGTTTTTTCTTCACCAGGTTCCTTAGCAGAAATAATAAAAGAGGCAGTACGTATCCCGTACGAAGACATTCCAAACTTCCCAGTGAGCACAGTCGAAGGTCACCACGGCCAACTAGTATTCGGCAATATTGGCGATGTGGCTGTTGTAGCTATGCAAGGAAGGTTCCACTACTACGAGGGATACCCACTTTGGAAGGTATATTTTAGAAATTGTCTGGTTCTAACACTCGACAGCATATTCTAGTATACAAGTATTCTTATAAAAAGTAGTAGATATATAATATTCATTCTAATTTTAATTATTTTTAGAAGCAAATGTAGTTAGCTTCTCAGCATTTCTATAGTAAAAAAAATTAAAAGTAATATAGGCCCTTGAACGCTAACTTATCACAGACATCAGTCTAGTTGAGAAGAAACTTTTAGCGCTCGACAAATTGTTTATTGAGGTAGGTTATTCGCTGTTACAAGTACGCAACATAATATCACGAGTCGACTAAATTATTTGCATTAAATTTATGTATATAATTTATTTATAGTAATTATAAAATTCTTCTTTAGTAAAATCTCAAAATAATATATGCTAGAGTCAACTAGGTCACATAACGTGACTTGTGTCACGTGGGCCGCGTGAGCGATGATAACTTTCGTGATGTCTGAAGGTCAATTCTCGTAATAAAAAATCATCCAAAATTCAGTTCTGATCTACTCTCGATCTCCTAAATGCCATAAAAGATATTTTCGTAGTAAAGTATTACTAGAATAGCGATTAAACTTTCGGTCACAACACGATGTAACCACTTTACAGTCAACGTTGAATGTATAATGGGTACTTTACCACAAGAATACCTATTATGACATTTGTAAGATCGAGAAAAGATCGAAACTGAATTTTGAATGAACTTTTATTACGAGAATTGTCTTTCTGATATCAAAACCTTTATTTTTTTTAAAGCATAGCAATATCAGCGGAAACCTAAAAAATATATTCTTTCATAAGGCTATTTTTATATTATTTTGTGGTTGAGTTCCCGCTCGCCATACAACTTTAACATTTTGCGTTAATTAGCTTGAGTAGCTAGCTAGTAGTTAGCTTTGTAAATTATCAAGATGTTTAATATGATACTAAGTTTATTTAAAAAAAAATAGTTTTTATATGGTTTTTTTAAACATCCAAGTCTACGAGTGTAATTTTAAAATATGCAACGACACACCAGGAAATGTAGTTTTGAATGGCCCATTAAATTGACTGGTAATCTGGTACAAAAGAATTTTCATTATCAGACTTATAGCTTAATAGCAACCAGTATATTATAAGTAGGTACATATTCAAAATGGCTGTAACTGAGTTTCAATTGTTTTCGTATCGATATATAGCTATGAATTGTATAAGTATATAACCACATAGTTACTAGATAAGATAAAAAAAGTATTTTAGTAGCTACATATTTTAAAAATACCGGTACCAATAATCAACATACTTATAAATTATTGATTAAATTACGTCCGTCCGTATTGATTAAGTTACGGCCCAGCAGATAATTATAATGTAACAGTGACGTCTATTACGATTGTAATCTATTATTGACAAGAAGTAATAGGTACGCTCTGGGTATTTCAGTAAATAAATACGTAGACAAACAAAAAATGATTTAATCTACGGAAATTATGTTTAATGTGTTAAGAAGCAGCTGATGCAAGCGCCTCGACCCCCCCAAGCAGGGTTATCAGTTGTTGTGAGCATCTCGGAGTATAATGAACTAGATAAAGATAAACATTCATACTTATTTTGAATCGCTTATTTGACAAATAATACGTTTCTTTATACTGAAAAATAAAGTTATATTGTCGCGAATATTAAGTATTATATTCTAATCTTTACACTACCAATTATTTTTTTTTAAATAAAGACTACATCTAAATTCGTTTTTTATTACAAGAATGTAATCAGTGAATATTTTTTAATAAATTTAAAACACATGACTAAAGTATCTGCTTTATGTTCAAATGTTCAAAATGATGTCTGAAACTATTAATATTTGAAGTGTTAAGTTAAGTTTTAAAGGTGTAAAGTGTAAGGTTGTGTAAGGTTTTAAGGGATTCGTATTCTACGATTTTTAAGAGCTTTTTTAAAGGTGCTTTCCACTTCATCGACCAATGCCTAATTACGTAATTAAATATTTCATATTCCGCTTAAAAACAAAGTAGAGCCAATAAAAGACATCCATCCTAATCCATACTAATAATTTTAATGCGAAAGTATGTCTGTCTGTCTGTTAACTCTTCATGCTTAAACCGCTGAACCGATTTTGATGAAATTTCGTATAGAGATAGTTTGATACTTGAGGAAGGACTAAGGATAATTTTTACCGTTATAATCGACATACATGCGAGCGGAAAGCTAGTTGCAAATAAATTTAAAAAAATTAGAACAAGCAAGCAAGGTTGATAAGGTCATGGTCGTAAAACTACCTGCAACTCAACCGCTATTTCCGGAGAGTCTGAGCTCGCTAACGCGTTAAATTCGGTAGAATCTAAGCTAATCAATATTGGATGAGTATTAGTTTTGCCAGCTTTGAAAGCTTCTGCCTAAAAGTTTTATATCCCTTATTGAAGTAAAAAATGATATGTATCTATCTACCAAATAAATTAAGTCAAAATATAAAAGAGATTGGTGTTCTTCAAAAAATGAATTAGTATAAAACCTCAAAAAGCGAATTAGTAAAGGCGAGCCTTAATGTATAACTTTTTTTCGCCTCAAAACCAATCAAATAATGCCCATCCCGAGTTCAGTTAAAATAATTTAATTGAACTACAAGCCTTTAAACTAAGCGAACACTTTTCACCACTATCTCAGCGAAAAAAAAATGATATTTGAGCAAAGTAAAAAAAACTAAAGAATTGAACTTTAAACTACTGTACTTTTTTAGGCATAATAAAAATTTGAAGGGTAACATAAAATCAAAAATGGGCAAATACATGGCCTTTTTTGCACTTTTAGATTAGAATATCACAATAACCGGACGTGATAGATAAATTCTACTACTCTGGTTTCTGGGTAAGAAACTTTGTCCAATTTTGTTGGCCTGTGATATCTTGTTCAATAGTTATGTATTAATTTTATTAGCATCATATTTTATCTATTCCTCTTAATGTGCTGAGGAGGTTGATCTTGACATTATATAATGTAGGTAAAATTAATTATGTGTCAAAACTAATAAGTGATTACAATGTTTCAGTGTTGTCTACCCGTACGCGTGATGAAACTCATTGGTGTAAAAACACTGATTGCAACGAATGCAGCCGGTGGTCTCAACCCTACATATAAAATCGGCGATGTAATGATTGTTAGGGACCACATTAACATGATGGGCTTCGCGGGCAACAACCCACTCCATGGTCCCAACGACGAAAGATTTGGGCCACGTTTTCCCCCTATGAGCAAGGCGTATAATTACGAGTTTAGAAAAATTGCCAAAGAGGTAAATTTAAACCATTTACTTGTACATTTTTCTACTGTTATATATCTTGGTACTTTTTTATTCTTTGTAATTCCAGTTGTATTTTAATTAAGGTATAGTATCTATTTAAAAAAAACATGTTATTTAATTGAATATTGCTAGAAAAATTCATTCATTCAATCAATCAATTGTAGTGATTAGGAATACGGACTGTCACCACATCTATTCATTCCGTGGGTATCGTAGGAATCGACTAATGGCGCAGACTACACAGGACAACAGAACTGCAAAGAGAAGGAAAACTTGAAACAAACCCAAATACCAACCCGTCTGGCCAGCGTGGTATGGTAGGCCAAAACCTCCTTACTAAGTAGAGGCCTATGTCCAACAGTGTGTTAATTAAAGGATGATGATGAGAAAAATTCTCTATTACAGATAAATAGATGTAAACAAAGCAAAAATAAGGCGTGAATAGATATTTTTTGTGGATAAAAGGTTATCGTCATGCCATCTGTTAAAATGTCAAGTCTTATCATCAATGACGTCAAACAGTTTAGATTTTTGTTCGTCCCAGAATTTATACATAACGTACTACTACACAAAAAATTAAGCTTAAAAGGAATGTGAAGAGATTATCATTTGTCTAAAAACATTGGACAATTCAACGAGAACGTTTTTCTTGGAGATTTCCAAATTACTTAGTAATTAAAATTTAGGAGGCTTTAGTTTCAGAAAATGATTCCAGTAATCATATTGATTAGTTACGTGGCTATCGAAACGCACATAATCCCTGACAGCAAACGTAACAACTGGATCGAAACTGAAATCTAATTAACAAAAGGGTGTATTCTCTAATAATTTCTGTTTAATGTCTGTTAAGTTCTATTTAATGTCTATGCATGCTAGTCGTGAAAATTTATATTCAGACTTAATCTTCTTCAGACACTCTTATTCAAGTGTCGGGGTTTTGTGATTTTGTAATGTGTGCACATATTGTCTGAATTTTGTTTTAAGCTTTATTATACCTACACGTATGTTTGCGTCTGCAGAAAACACGTGAATTAAAATCGAAATACTAGAGCCGCTTTAATGAAGGTCGTTTTGTTCTTTTTATAAACTGAGCTACGGAAGTTGCGAGTCTAGTTTAGGTTTTGTATGTATAGAACATTTCTATTTTTTAAGTATTAAGAAGAGAATTGTTAGTAGGTATGTATGTCCTTCAAGACCCGTTTCGCAGCAAACGTATCTAGTTGATATTAACATCCAAGTAGGTAGGTAATTTACGCCATGTAAATAACACCTATTACCAACCAACAGGTATTTCCCATTGACGATGGAAATTAGGGAGAAGCAAGTTCTCAGCATAAATAAAGAAAAACTAAAAATATTTTGATGTGATTACGAATATCTTATATAAATTTTCTATACTTATAACCATGGTTAGAATTACAAAGTTATGGTCGAAGAGAGAAAATAATCTTGGAGATCAATTGACCGAATCATCTTTTACCTACAAGTTCTAAAGCAACTCGTGATGTACGAGCCAGACTCGCACCTTGTTTTTTTATTCTTAGACGGGACTTGACATAATATATATATAAACCAATTTGACTACCTTTGGAAGGTCACATAGTCACATAGGTATATTTTTCTGTAAATACCTGAATGTTGTCCCAACATAAAAACCCAGACCAATGCAAATATACATATTTACTAATTTTATTTATTTATTTACACATCATGCACGCATGCATGCATTTGGTGCATGATGTGAAAATAAAAAATAATCATGTTTCTAAAATTGCCATAAAACATGATTGGTTGTTTCTATAATACACTTATATTCATTTCATAAAAAATACAAAGCTCCGTTTATATTCTTTGCAACGTACCGCAATTAAAATGGACGATAATACATTTATTTAATATGCATTTTAATAAACGGTACGATGAACGGCGCTGAGCTATCTCGAAGACGTTCACTCGTATCGCCTACTCTTCATTAATCATTAATTAGTCGGTCTCAGTTCAATATCAGTGGTCATTATTTCCTCGAGGTCACATTTTAAACTGGAATTTTACCCAAAGTATTTGATTACACAAGTCTTTAATTTTAGTGAAGTATCTTTTACCGATCAATAATAATCTATAATATTTATTATCTACAATAATTCTAAAAGAGATTTTTTATATGCGTTTTGAAGATAAGAGAAATTTTCACTCGGTCTCAAAAATGAAAAATACTCATTAAAGCTGGAAATATTGATTTTTATATACTCTCACGACGATTGGTCAGGAATCTAGTAAATCACCTTTCCTTTGTATGAATAAAATTCGAAGGTTAAACTTGAATTTAGTTCAAAAGGTTTTTAATTGCAAATATAATAAAAGAGAACTACTCGTAGTACATAATAGAATAAGTTTTATTTACATCCCTACGTACAATGGAACGGCAGTTAACAGTACCTACTTTTTTTATTGGGTACAAAATCACATAAGTGCTTCATCTACATTATTATAATGTCTACGAATAATTATATTATAAATAAATAATTAAAAAAAATAAAGATTCTCTAGATATATTCTTCTAAGATCGAATTTTAACAATGTATAGTCTTGATCAGAGGGAGACATCTTATACTGCTACATTAATTACGGTAACATAGAGGTTCCATCGCATTATAAATAATATGTATGCATTTTATTATGCAATAAACGTAAACAAAGAGATAAATTATAAAATTATTACATTAATTTTAAAATAAACATACGTTCGCTATGTATATTTATGGAAATATAAATAAGTATTCATGTTCATTCGAGGCCGAGAACCCTTTTAAAGCTTCATGGAAACAATTGCAAATTGCATGTTTGATTGCGTCGTCTACCTAGTAATATAAATTATCTTTCCCATATTAAGCTCCATCAAATACTTTTAATTTATTTATACTTTAAGTACAATATTTCTAATTTTAATTATTTTTAAAGAGAGCAAGATGATAATTACTAATGACTCAACTATGTCTGACACATTTTTTTTTAATTTTAATGTAATGTCCAGGTTGCCCAAGAACTAAATATGGAGAACATCATCCGCGAAGGAGTTTACACGTGTCTCGGCGGACCAAACTTCGAAACTGTGGCTGAGCTGAACATGTTAAAAATGGTGGGAGTGGACGCCGTGGGCATGTCTACCGTTCATGAGGTAAGCGTTAAATAATCAAGCTTTTAAAGCCTCTGGTCTTCTTGTAAAATCGACGATGGGTTTAGCAAGTTTTTGTATGAGTAGGTACGAAAATAGCTATGCTACAAAAAACTCGCCATTATTTTTACACACAACCTTACCCGGAGACATTCTGTAAAATATTTTTTCTTTTTTATGTTTCATGTGGTTTTAATAATTTTATCCTGGGATTTATTAAACATCGCTATTCAGACCCAAACTAAGCAAAGTTTGTATCATGGTTACAAATATAAACAATATGTAAAAAGGTTTTCATTGAAATAAAACAAAACATTGAAAACTGCATAAAGCCCCTAATTAAATAATAGTCGAAATTCGTCCAATATGTGACCTCTTATGTGTACCCATATAAGAAGACTGTACCTTACAAGTATCAAAAACAACATAACTTTAATTTAAAAAAAAAACTATTTTAATTCAGGTAATCACCGCAAGACACTGCGACATGAATGTATTCGCGCTCTCTCTTATCACTAATGAGTGCGTGACGAGTTACGCCGACGACGCCGGTGAAGCCAATCATGAGGAAGTGTTGGACGTGGGCCGCATGAGACAGGACATTCTAAGGGAGTATGTGTCAGTGCTCATCGATAGGTTCTCGAAAATTGAGACCAACCCCTGAACATAATTTGTATACGATATTGAAGTACGCAAAACAAATAACATCTCAATTATACGGAGGCAGTGATGTCACGAACATTAAATTATATTAAAAAAGAGCTTTTTGACAGTAACAGCAACGAATTGCTACTGATTTTCCTGTGACTACTGATCTACATAGATTACTGTTTATTTATAAAATCAATCTTTCTAATTAGCTAAATTTGTTAAATGGCCTGGATGTTAGAAATAGATACGTGTTTATTAAATGTTTGTTAATTATAAGTCAATTAGATGTAAACTACGAATAATAAGACACAACAAAATCTATACAAATAAATAAAATTGGAGTGTCTGTTTGTAATATTAAAATAACCGCTTTTTACTAAATGCATATGTATGTTTACACGGTACATATGCCAAAATAACATTTTTTTCAATTTTTGTCTGTCGTTTGTGCCGGGTAATCTTTGGAACGGCTGGACCGATTTCGACGGGACTGTCACTGGCAGATAGCTGATGACATAAGGAGTAACTTAGGCTACTATTTTTTAGACTAGCTTCGCCCCGCGGCGTTGCCCGCAGTTATAACAACAAACGCGGGTAACACCGCGGGTCTCAGCTAGTATTTAATATAAGTCCTATGTCGTTGTACGAAATAGTTATAAGTTAAGTTAGTTAGTTATAAGTTCTAAAAATAATAATAAATATATTTAAATAATTTCTGTTTTACTATGAATATGTGCGAGGGTTGTTGTGCAACTAATTGAGGATTTTAAAATATATCAAATTATGGATAAGAAGTCTGACTTGAGACTACTTGATCTGAAGTCTCAAGTAGCCGATAGTGACTTAAGTACAACAACAACAGGGTAATAGCAAGGTTCCTCTTGATTACCCTGTTATTGGACTTAATCCGATTAAAATCACATGGTGTTTTGTTACGGAGTCCTACTTGCTCCGGTATACCCTATTTAACAATAACTTCTAATGTGGAGTGTAAAGGGCTTTACTTTTATGAACACGTCGCACTACCTTCTTGGCTTTGTTTCTGCAAGGATTATGCGGCGGCGGATAATTCTAGCCTATTTCCTATTCTTAGTACTTGTTTATCTATATATCGAAATCCAAGCGAAGAAACTTAACAAATGATTAATTTTCCACCCTAATTTTGATCCCCCATTTTGGCACCTTCAAGTTATACAGGGTGTAAGCACGGTACAATTATAATACAGTAGTGTAACTCGGCCGCATGATAGAAATAAATGCCTACAGCCGCGCGGTTCGTAAACATGCGTTAGGGCTGCCCGTCTCCAGCATTTTAATTATATTTGCCTACTTTCTGTTTCTATTTAGATTTGTGATTGTAAATATCCTTTTTATATAAATAAATGAAATACTTTGTATATTGAATAGGAAGTGTTCAATAAAAATGCGTGTTGTTTTTTGATTGGTAGATTTAATTATTTTATTTTCTTTCTGCATTGGAGGAGTTCAAGTTTCAATTTTCTTTTTCTTGGAGTGTTGCTAGAGAGACTCGTTGAGATTTGAGCAAAGATTTCATTTGTTGCATTTTCAGTCTGTGTACTATTTTCATTTCCTACCAACGGAGCAGTTTGGGTTTGTTTATCTTCTTTTAGAGAGACTCCTGGATCAGTACTAGCTAAGCTTGGCAGCATCAACAATGGTAGGGCATTTTTTAAAGTTTTCTATTTGATGAATGTAATACATCCTCCAAATTAAAATGTTTTTCACAAACTTGGTAGGAACTAAAGTTAGGTTTGTTTTCCAAATGATCTCGCCGGATCAGTTGCAACCATTGAAGACGTCTGAAAAAAAAAATACATGTGGCACTCTCGGAGACTGCCGCGGTAAAGCTGTTGCATAACATTTTTTTTTAAAGAAAAAAATCTGCGTGGTGTCAGGTATTTTTCGTTAGGTTTTGAGAATTTCTTGATTCGGTCACCGCGCCGCGCCGCGCTCAGAGCCCGCGATAAAAGCTATGCAATAGCTTAAAAATCCTTCTATAAAATAAAAAAAAATGTGCTTTCTCCATACGCGTTACAAAACTCCAATCCTTAGAAACTCCAACACCTGCCTACTCAACTAGAATGCAAGAAACAGCTGACGAGCAAGTAACTTTTTATCTCAGCTTATTAACGTCTCTATAAATTAGGTACCTACCTACAACTCGCAACAACTCAAAACAAAAATTCTTTGGTCACCAATTAATTAATTATTAAAAAGCTGAACAGCTGACTACGAATGTTTTAAAATCACAACCCTCAAACATCTAAATATTATATATGAGTCTAGCTGTTGTTGTTAATACCGAGAAAATAAAACCAGTGTTTAGTGGTATATGTTGTTATAGTAGCAGCAGAAACACTTTGTGAAAATTTCGAAAACTATCTAATGACACACAGACGGTAAAAAAAAAATTCTAGTATTATTCATACACACAGATAATAAACAAATATTATTAATAATAAATACCATGTCTTTACTTTGAATTATGCAAAGTAACAAAACACACATGCACCGAAGTTTTAACACAAGCGTAAGTAGGTACCTACCGTATCATGATTCATTCAGAACCGCATATAACTACCTATTTCACTCGTCTCAATAACTTTCCGTTACTCTATTCGCTTTATTTATTAATCCAAACACCTTTTTTTTCGTGAGATAAAAGGAAATACTTATCCATTAAAAAGACACATATTATGTACCTACCTACTAGTAAGTATAATTATTATTTTATTAATTATTATTAAGTAAAGTAAAATGATTATAGTGTTACCTTTCAGAGTTTCCAGGTAATTTAAAAAAACCTATGTTTGGATGCGTTATTGACGAATTTATATAACCAAAAACAGCACAATATTTCCTACTCGTCATATTAACTGATTTTTAGAGAAAAAATCACGCGGTTATTGTTAAAAAAACAACACACAGTCCGTCCGACACTGCGGTACAGCCGTGACTGTCTGCGCCCCGAGCGCACCCCGAGATCGAGGCGCGTAGGTATAGCTCGCGTTTCGTCCGTTTGTATGAAGTTGGAGTACTGTATTATAATAGTACCGTGGTGTAAGGGACATAGTAACGAATACTGAAATAGTGTATTCAGACCATGATTCTGAGTCTGAGATTTTTTTAATATAATTTTCGATTTTTTTGGTTAAAAATTATATCACAATGAGTAAACAGAAAATTTCACCGAAAATAAAAATAATAAATACCGCGTGCGGTCAAAAACTGCAAATGTAATTAATTAAAACAGCGTGGGGCCTCCCCTCCGGCCGCCAACTGTGTCCGTTTGCGTTAGACTGTTTGCACGGAATACACATGTACTTATTACTTTTGTGCGATACCTAAGGGGAATGACCTTTACCTTTGACAGCTAATTGCATACAAAGTTTAATTTTCGGGCAGAAAATTCGAATGATTTTCGACTCCGAATGATTGTCTGAATACACTATTTCAGTATTCGTTACGATGTCCCGTACACCGTGTATTTTCCTGATAAAGGGTATCCAGCGTCCTATGTCGTAGTGTAAACTCAAGTTTTACCAAGTCATTTAAATTCATTCGTTAGTTTTGGCGTGGCGCAAGGTCGAGATGTAGACAGGCACAAAACGATAAAAAGTAGATTTCGAAAAAAAATACAAAACAACTTGAATGTTTAAAATTATATCAGTTATGAAATTAAGTATAGACTATAGGTGTAAAGCTAGCTGGCGATTAAAAAGCCTAGAAACAACTGGACTAAGTATATCATTAGACTGAAGAAAAAACAATATAAAGATGTTTTTAGTTTAATTTAATGAATATAAATAATTAACATAACGACTCAGCAGTCAACGAACCAACGTCAACAGATATACAAATGTATAATATTACTGTCCGTCACATTTACGTCTAACTAACTATTACTTGTAGCATTCACAATTTAACTAATTAATATAATATTAAATATTTACTATGCCCCCAAGAGACGACAAAATAAAACTATTTCACGAAATACGTAACTTACTTTTGCACTCAAAAGGCGACAACGCAATTATGTCTCACCATCAGGTAACCCGTGTGCTCGTTTGCCTCCTACACCGAAAAAAATCCTCAGATCTTACATAGATCTACAAAATTATAAGGAAAAAATGTAAATGACAACTGATCGAATAAATAATATTAGTACAATGTGCAAATTAGCAATCTATTAAACAAATATATAAATAAAACACAAACAAAAATAACCTTCTGTTAATAGATTGAAGGACTTTAGGAGATACTAACTCGCGCTTGTAACATAACATCCTCTAAGCACTTAAGTTGCCAAATTTCGCTTGTGATAAAATTTAGCAGTGACACCTACCTTATTCTTTTTACCTTATAACATTATTTGCAAAGCCTAAGCCTAGTAGAATCCATTGGCAGCCTAATATTGCACTCATGTATTTGAAGTACCTACGCTTTTTTATCATTACATTTTGATATCTCTTGGTTGCATGACAACTTTTTATACTTATCAACTACTTAAGAGGGTGTTTCTTCGGTAAGAGGTGTGCGAATTCTTGACAAGCTGATTCGATATTCGAGTATTTATACGAGAACCCGTAATCTAAGACTCTTTTCGGTACAACGTTCTGGCCTTTAGTCATTACCATAGCTCTTTCATGATTCAATAAATAGTTTAATATTAACTCTGGGACTGGTATTATAGCTGGCCGTTTCAATGCTTTGGCGAACGCCTGCAACAAGAAAATTATAATGTACATATATACCTACCTGCTTTTTTCATTACTTAAATTTTAATTTAATTGACACCAGAAAAAGGCAAAAGACGTTTAAGCATAGTAAAAACAAAGTTTATCTATCAATGTCTATGGGGTTTGTGTTTCAATTCGCATAGAGAATCCTTGAAACCCCCCAGTAAAACGAACACTGATGGTCTGATTGGGTTTACTTTTTCTGAGATTTGCGGTGTATTTTTACACTTGCTCCACGGTCTTTCCGTTTTTTTACCCCAATTTGTCCTGGTCTGAAAACTCACTGATTACATTTCCAAGGGTGGTGTTAGGCAGGCGGAAGTCTCAAGGAGTAAAGACGTGAGTGTATGTGCATGTATGTAAAATTTTAAATACCTAGCAATATATTTCTTTTAACTTAAATCTGGTTTTAATATATGGGTGTTTTCGGCTGAAGAAGAGTAACAGTAAATATTTTGATTGAAAATAAGTTATAACGTATTTGGGATAAACGTAAGACTTCACCCAATGTCACCCTTTTTTTATGCGGAAAGCCCGTCGAATACCACCCAAGACTGAGTTGGCTTTTTTTTTATGTTAAGGGGGGGCAGAGGAACAGACGGACCACCTGATGTGCATGAACGTGTAATGTTTGATTTGGTCTGGGTGTTTCTATGTATAATATGTATGTACAAGGTGTCTCAAAAGAAAGTTTATATTTAGTAGATCGATTAAAAAAAAAGTAAGCAGTGTATCGAAAAAATGTTTATTAATTATTAAAGTACACAATTTGGGAATTTATTTCTTAAAAATAATATCGTCCAAATGTAGACCCTCGCGTTCGCAGCACTCATTTAATCGAACAGTAAAATTACTTATGACGGCTCGGCAGGTGAACTCAGTGATGGCTGCCATTTCGTGACGGATATTTTCTTTCAAATGCGCCAGGGAAGTCGGTTTATTCGCGTAAACTTTAGATTTAAGATAACCCCATATGAAAAAGTCCATAGGGGTTAAATCAGGACTGCGTGGAGGCCAATTTATGTCACCTCTCCTGGAGATCAATTTTCTCGTGGCAGAGACGTATTGGACGTGTGTGACGTTGCTCCGTCCTGCTGGAACCATGGTCTTTGGTTATATCCAGGAAAGTTTTGCAGTTCAGGCGCCAAGAAGTCGTCTAACATCTCCACGTAACGCTCTGAATTCACTGTAACTGCACGCCCCCTTTCGTCTTCAAAAAAGTAAGGTCCGATAATTCCTCGCGCCGACATCGCAGCCCATACGGTCACTTTAGGCGAATGAAGGGGTTTCTGATGTTTGCGTTTGGATTCATTGCACTCCAGTAGCGTGAAACATGAAAATGAGCTTCATCCGAAAACAAGATGTTGGTAAACGTTGAAAAGCGCTCAAACGCCTGATTTACGAAGTCAAGCCTCTGACTAGCATCTTGGGGTTTTAATTCTTGCACCAATTGAATTTTGTAAGGGTGCAGCTATAGGTCTTTGTGCAAAATGTGGTGTAATGATGATCTATGCACATTTAAAGCACTTGCGCGCTTCCGAATTGAAAGGTTCGGGTCGTCACGAACAGACTGATTAACACTCTCCACGTTTTCTACCGTTCTTGATGACCTTGGTCGACGGATTTTGGTTTTTCCAGCGTTGTACCGGTCTCTTCAAACTTTTTGACCCATTTTCGAATAAGAGGAATGCTTGGTGCATCATTTAAATGGCGAAAACCTCGAACACTACAGAACCTTCTACGCGCTACAGTCGCCGAATCACCGTTTTAGTAAAACTCTCGCACGCACAACGCACGGTCTGCTCCCGAGAAATGCTCCATAGCGACTGAAATCCCAAGAGCCAGGCTACCGATTGACATAGCCCCCGCGCCCCTCGGACTCGTTACGTTCACACAGTAAGCTAAATAAATATAAACTTTCTTTTGAGACACCTTGTATTTACAAAAAAAAGTAAATAAGTAATTATATTAGTTGTCTAGTACCCATAGTACAAGCTCTGCTTAGTTTGGGACTAGATGGAGTTGTGTGAATGTGGTAGAATATTATTATTATTATTGTAATCTTAATTTTTCTCAGCTTAAGGCTGGTTTCTACTGTATTTACAGGCCAAAACCAAGTAAATACAATGAGGTGTGTGTCTTTGTTATGTAGATGTAGATGGTGGTTGCTGTGTGTGTTGTGCTGTTCCGTTCTCTTCAATATCAAGTGTTCAATAATGCTGCTTTCTGTAGGTTACAATACACGGATTCATTTAAATTTATTAATTTAAGGCTATTGTGAAGATATTTAGGTGTAACTCCTGTTGTAGATAGAACTATGGGTACTATGGAAACTTTCTCCTGTCTCCAGATTCTTATTATTTCTTCTTATCAGTTCTGTGTATTTGCTAATTTTTTCTGTGATGGTTTTCTGTAAATTGTGTGTATTCGGTACTGCAATATCAATAAGGTAGGTGGTTTAGTTAATTTCGTCTTGTAGGGTTATGTCTGGTCTGTTATAGTGGACGGTTCTATCTGTGAGGATGGCGCGGTCATAGTAAAGTTTGTGTGAGCTACTTTCTAATACAGATTGAGGAGTATAATTGTAGTAAGGTGTGTTTGTGTATTGTATAAGATGATGTTTGAGTGCTAATTTTTGGTGTATAAAGTTAGTTCTTTGGTTATGTGTATAATCCGTTTGTGTGAGGGTAATGCATGCTCCAGTAATGTGTTGAATGGTTTTAGACCGAATGTGTCATTTTCGGCACTTATCATCTGTGACGCAGGCATCTTTGATTATATATGTATTTCCTATAATTTTTCGTTATTAGCTATTATAAATCCCTCTGTTTCTGGAAATAGGTTACCAATTTTAAACCATGAATTTGAAGCTATTATCAATGTGGGGCTGCTCTAAATCATGGGGTGTCTTCCATGTAGTGCTTTTTTCTTCCAGTTTTCTATTTTGTCTGCCTGTGGGTCTAAGTTATTGTGATCATTTAAGTTTAGCGGTGTGAAATTGTAGTCGCTTAGAGTTATGGCTTTATGGATGTTACTTGTGTGTGATTTTGTGCGAAAGAATGTTTTTAGATTATAAACTTGTTTTTGCCAAAGATGATAAATATCTATTAGGCCCCTGCCACCATGTTCTCTTTTGATAGTAAGTCTTTCTATGGCGGATTTAGGGTGTAGGTTGTTGTGTTTGGTTAATGTAGTGCGTGTAATTCGTTCTATTTGCTCTATGTCAGTTTTTGTCCATTTTATGATGCCAAATGAGTAGGTTAATATTGGAATAGCGTATGTGTTTAATGCTTTTATAAGATTTTTAGCAGAAAGTTGGGTTTTGCATAAGGTGTTAGTTCGACTTTTATATTCAGTAGCTAATATTTGTTTGATTGAGGTGTGATCTAGCCCTTTAAGTTGTTATAACCTAAATATCTATCTATCTATTATCTATAATAATATCTTATTTTATCTTAGTTTAATATCGTCCATGTATATCAATGAGAAATAATAGTTCCTTCTGTAGGATTCCTCAGACGATATCCTGCCTGACATCGCTGCAGCAAATGAGACTATTATTTTTATTTTAAATAATTGAAAACCTATTATACTGCCCCTGATAGTTGAAAAGGCGCTTCTAATATTTTTTCCGAATTTGAATTATATATATTGCCGGGATCAGGAACAAAAAGGTGCATCTGCCTATATTTTTAATATTTCTCTATTTTGCTTCATTACAGTTTTAGCACAACAAAATAACATACTTTTTTACACTTTATGGAAGTTGAAAAGACGAATTCATCTGAAACTTAAATGAATAGTCGCATTTACATAAATACACCTATATTCCTGACGATTTTTTTTAAGTTTGATAATCTAAAAGGCGCATATAAAACTGTATTTCTAAGACGAAATTAATAAGGCGCATGTAAACATTTACGTCTAATGCACTAATTGAAAACTGCTCTCACACTAAGAAAAACGTCTATATCTGCCACTTGCGCCCTCCCTATCTACTTCGTAAAGTTAGTCTTGACATAGGCGCATTTGTCATATACGGTTTAATACCTTACAGTTGTGAAGAAAACTATCGATGGTACTTTAAATCTATTTGTATTGCTTAGTATAATCATTAGGCTTTAAACAAAAATAATCTATTTTCATAGGTAATATTTCGCCCGTGGGTGTCATAAGAGCCGACTAAGGGAAAAACTACGCAGAACAACAGCACTGCAGAGAGAAGAAAAACTTGGCACAAATCCTATACCAATCCGTCTGGCCAGCGTGGTATAGTAGGCCAAAACCTCATTTCTAAGTAGAGGCTTATGTCCAGCAGTGGACTATTAAAGGCTGTTGATGTGAATCTATTTTCATGTTAATGTGTCAGATGAAACAATTAATAGATATTTAAATGTATTTTTATTCTTAGGCTAGGATTATCTTCATAGTTTTGAATGCTTAAGTAAAAAGGCGCATATGGCCAAATGCGCCTTTTTTACACAGAAATACTTAAACTATAAGCACTCCAAAAAGCTTTTGAGATTTAAAAGGCGCATCTGGCTATTTGCGTCTATATCATTAAGAAAGCAGTATTTAAAAAAAAACTAAAACTAGCTGACCCTGCAAACGTTGTTTTGCTACTTACATTATTATTATTTTTTTTCTTTTTAATTTCTTAAAATCCGTTCTTAGCTGACCTCTACTCGGTGAAAAGAATATTCCTACCAAATTTCAAGTCTTTAGCTCTAATGGTTCCAGAGATATCGTGATGAGTGACTATATACGTGGAAATCTCTAATATATATTTGGATGAAACGCTTTTTTGTCATTTTTAATTAAATAACTTAAAAATATTTATGCTTATATTACTTGGTGTCAAAGACTATTATCAAGCCTATAAATTCCAATTTTTAATAGTTAATTATTTTAATCGATCGTAGTGGCGTGCAATAGGAGAGGCCTATGTCCAACAGCGGACTGCGAATGATGATGATGAATTATTTTAATTTACTCAAACGCAGCGAACGATTTCCCATTAAATTTATTAAAATATTTTTTTCTCCATTTTGACTTCTTGTAACATGCGCTTTTTTAACTATTGGGGGGCAGTATATATACATACAACACAAGACTTATTATTTATAAGTTTCCTCCTTAATACAACTTTGTCTGTTCCTACTCCGATGTCCAACAGCAGCCTTTTAAGATGATAAGGCACTCATTTTTTTAAAGTTCTGTCACCACATTAATTGTGTTCTCCTAGAACAGTATAACTGCCGTAGGTCACCGAGCGAGTGTAATATTATTCACTAGTGACTTTCCTCGAGTCATTCTCCTGGCTGCTATGATTATCTACTAAAAGTCGGTACTTGTGTTTTAATGTAACTAATAGGATCTTACACATTTTATACAGTGTAGTAGTGTTATCATTTTTATATTTTTCTTTTACGTTTTGGTTAACGAGTAATTTTATAAACCTAATTTGAATTGCTTCTAGTTTATCAATGTATGCTTTAAATCTGAGATTTAGTGGGCCTAGGCACTCGGACGTCACAGACTGATATTTTGTCCTAAAAGTTGGCCAAAAATATTTGGTTCGACTAATGGCTGCCTAACAATATTTCATTTCAGTTTTAACTTGAAAAAGGTAAAGAAAGACATACGTAATGTATGCAAGCATTTATTCGACATTTTCGTCGTCATCATCATTGTCCAATGGGAACAATGGCTTCCCTTACCACTTCAGCCCCATGACGCAACACTTTATGTTATGTCGGAGACATTGGGTAAAAGTTATACATTTTTCTGTAAGCTTGGATTAGTTACTCGCACTATCTCATATTAGGCACGTGTTAGTCCCGCTTCAGTATACATAAATAATGCATGTAAATGTGCTAATTTGTTTGATTTCTCCTGTTCTTCTTCAGTGTTACTTTTTTTCGTCGCTGCCGCATATTTCCTTGCTCTTCTAAGACTTTTTGTTAAATCGTTTACAATTTTTGAAGCATCTACCTTGCCCGTCTCCCATAATTTCATCTGTGTCGCGTACCGATCTTAGTTTTTTAGTTTCTTCTTTCGCTTAATTCTAAGAACGACTTTTGAGGTCGACCGGAACTACCTCCTGTAATAAACAGACAATAGTTGTACTCAAACAATTACTTTACATTTTAGTCATTGGTAGTAATGACTAAAATGTAAAGTAATTGTTTGAGTACAACTAACAAAAATATTGTGCGGGTAAACAAAATGTTTCAAACCATAACAACCAACCTGCTTTCGGTAGCGGTAACGCTCCATTAAGCCACTCGGCATTGTTTTTTTAGGAATCTGGCCTTCGTGTTGCAAGCAGCTGACCATTTTTGTTCAAATTCGTGCCTGATGATAGACAGTTTTTGCTTTTCGTCCGCAACATTTTAGTCATTTTCTGCATATTGACTGAGCAGTTCCCGTTCCTTAAATTGCAACTTTGCAATAAAAGTTGAGGTATTTGAGCGTTCCATTATATTCAACAAATCATTTCGAGTCGTAACCCTTATTTCAGAAGAGCCTATAACAAAAATACACAAAATTTAAGTGAAACTTTATTTACTCATCTCGTAGACTTATTCCGTTGACACGGAAAAAATCACAAAAAATAGAGGGGTGCATTAGGGTGGCTGTTTTCAGCTTTTTTTTTTTGTTAAAAAGACAAGTCCCGCACTAGGAATAAATCCTGTGTCGCGGGGGACTTTACAAACATACATGAAACGGACACAAAGTACACCCAGACTCAGAACAACAATTTGTGGATCACACAAAGTGTTGTTCCATGTGGGGTTTGAACCCACAAACACTCGGCGTAATAGGGAGCGTAGTGGCGACCGCTTAAACCATTACGCCATCCGTGCAGTCTCTGTACATTCTTAAGGGTCTATTCTATAACGAGCAATTACTCTGTTGGCTTAGAAATGAGAAGAAATATATTAAAATTCCCTTTGATTATCAAAAAATGTTTTTTGTAGCAGTTGTTTAGTGCAGTTGTACATTTATTTCTTCAAAATATAAATAAACAAAGGCTATAGACTAGTTGTAAAAATTAAATGTCAAATAAAGTACATACCTGGCTCTGCACAATCCATAGTAAAAACCAACACAAAATCGTTCACTCATGATATAGCAAATATTTGAAAACAATGAAATCTGAGCGCATCGAACAATCACACGAACACAGTAGGCAATCGGTAACGACTGAGCTGACCGACTGAGCCCAACGGCGCGCAGGAGCCCCTAGCGCTTTGTGTTTTCTGCTACTGTTTGGGGAAATTATTCTAGTTTTTTGAAAATAAGGGGAAAAAAATAAAGGGTTAAAGGGAGTAGAACTAATATTTAAAAAAATGATTTTGGCCAACTATTAGGATCAAACACCAGTCTCTGCGTCAGCTTAGCTTAGCCGCTAGGGCTAGTAGCTTTGGGGCCACTGGTGGAGACCTCAAGGAGCCGGGCTGTCCGTGTGCTTTTACACCGGACGCCCAGTATCCTGAGGGCCTTGGGGTCGACGTTTGCCTTGACATTCGCCAAGACCTCGGCATAACCCACACCCCTCCCCGCCGCTTCCTCCGTCAGAGTGACAACAAGGGCCGCAAAACGAGCGAAGAGGAGCCCCCTTGGCATTCCTGTCGCCGTAGCTGCTTTTTCGACCTTTTTGGGAGTTTTTAGCCTTCTGCTTCTTCTTTGTTACCTGGGTATTTCCAGCCCCCTTCTAACGGGCGCTGTGCGGGGTCAGCCGGGGCTGGAACTGAGGCCTCCCCCTTCCCCTTGGTGGCTTTTCTGATGCTGAATAGACTATTTTTTCTGGATGGTTGCCCTACTTATTATTTCCTTCCTTACCAGCAGTAATCATACTGTAATTAACTAGTTTTACATTTTTTTTAGATTTTGCATTTTTTTAAAGACTGATTAAATTGGTTCTTTAACATTGGATATAAACAGTAACAATCCTTTATAATTGTTTTTGATCATCTGTCTACTGAATACTCACTTTGGTAAAATGCTCATTGGTGATGACCTGTGGTGCCACTCCATTCAGCACACCTTTAATATGATCGTTTTCGATGGCGAATAGAATGAGTCGTGTGAGATCTTGTATGTGTATCCACGGCAGATACTGCTTTCCGGTACCAATGTGACCCCCGACGCCCAAGTAAAAAGGCAAGATCATATTCTTGATCATGCCACCCCAACGGCCAAGTACGACGCCTGAGCGAATTATCACCTGTGATACAAAAATAAAATAAAAATTAAAATTTTGTTACTTTTTGCAATCCTCTACTCTCATCAGAGTTGAAATTCCGCAAGGGATTGCAGTCGCACCTACCGGTAGAGGTTTAGAATCTATACTAATATTATAAAGCTGAAGAGTTTGTTTGTTTGTTTGTTTGTTTGTTTGTTTGAACGCGCTAATCTCAGGAACTACTGGTCCGATTTGAAAAATTCTTTCAGTGTTAGATAGCCCATTTATCGAGGAAGGCTATAGGCTATATATCATCACGCTAAGACCAATAGGAGCGGAGCACCAATGAAGAATGTTTCAAAAACGGAGAAAATTTATTACTATTGAGAGACGCAGACGAAGTTGCGCGGGTCAGCTAGTAATAATAATAAAGCGTTATTTGATTCCTTACAAGTTACAAGATAAAGATTTAAAAAAGTTAAGTATAAATATGTATTTATGTGATTGTGGGTAAAAGTGGCTTTTACCCACAATCAATGAAAGGCATGAACAAACACTTTTGGCTTGTCCACATTTTTATTAATGGCTGCTGTTAACTGTTTAGTTGTGTAAACCCGAGAATTGTGGACATTCTGTTTGAATCTTCTTTGTTGTTAGCTATTGTTAACTAATTACGACCCGCCGTCTCCACTCCTTCGTCCACCCATCTCGCGCTAGGTCTGCCTTTATTTCTAGTGCCCAGACCATATCGTCACTCTCTTTGTCCATCTGCCGTCTGTGTACCTGGCCACGTGCCCTGCATACTTCCACTTCCTGACTAGCGAGAAGGATAGAGCGTCAGTTATTTTCGTCCTCTTGCGAATTTCTGTGTTCCTGATTTTATCTCTTAACTTTATACCTAGGTAACTTCTCTCCGTTCTTCTTTCTTTCTTTAGAGGTTCGCTACGCAAACTCAGAACAGCTCTATCGCTCATACAACAACTCCTTAATTCGAAGCAAGAAATGGTAAGACGCTAATAGGTGATGTGTCGTGGGAGACTCCACAGGAGTGATACCACGGCTTCACAGAAAACCGGTGTTAAGCCAGTTCCTTCATTGCTTTTTACCGAGTGAGCAACACGCTTATGACTCTTGAGTACGCCATAATCACTTACATCAGGTGACCCGCCTGCTCATTTTCCTCCCTATACCATAAAACAAGATTCAGAGACGGCGAATAAACTTCAGAGAATTACCTCGCAGAAGGACCATTACTCTATGCTGTTTTTTATTTCATTATAGACATACTGCTGCACTAGCCACCAGAGATGAAAGCTGTGGTTACGAAATAATCAAAAGATGGTACTAAAAACTTACAAGCCTACATGGTTCATCAACATTTGCGGCCTTTTCCCACTCAACAGTTAGTCTTGAGAAAAAGTCCCTTCCGGTAGTAGGGCTGTTTTCGTCATATACTTCAGTTTCCGAAGGTTCATATGCTCCTACACCCGTGACCAAAACAAACACTTTGGGCTTGTCCACACTTTTATTAATGGCTGCTGTTAACTGTTTAGTTGTGTAAACCCGAGAATTGTGGACATTCTGTTTGAATCTGCAATGCAACATCAGACCTTGTGTAAGTAAAATAAATTAATAGGCGGCTATACATTTTCCAGAGCGAGCAAAAAAAGCGCAGACAGGCAGATACATCTATTTCAATACATCTTAAGACAGTATCTACCAAGTGTAACTGCATTCTGGATGAATTGGCTTAGAGAAAATAATGTAACTATGTACATTCCCTAATTACATTAAATATAAACTCATAGTTTCTACCAAGTGTAACTGCATTCTGGATGAATTGGCTTAGAGAAAATAATGTAACTATGTACATTCCCTAATTACATTAAATATAAACTCATAGTTAACGAACTTTAGCAAGCCTAAAGCCACTGCGCTTTTTATTATCACCAATCACCAACAATCATCAAAATCCTAAGGTACTTTTGGCATACACATAAGCTTTTTTCAACACGATCGAGAGTTAAGCGTAAATTTTGCGACAGAGTCCGATTAATGTGGTCTAGGTATCTTGCAAATTTTATCATCATCATAAACAACACACCTTTAATAGACCACTGCTGAGCCTACTATAAAAACACTAGCCAGACGGTTAGGTATAAGGTTTGTTTCAAGTTTTCATTCTCTCTACAGTGCTGTTGTCCTGCGTAGTTAGCTCCCTTAGTCGTCTCTTACGACACCCACATTACGACAATACATTAAGAATTTTTTGAGTAATTACTTACCATTTTGACTGGCAAAACATAAGAATTTTAAAAATAAATAGCAAACACTAACCCAGGTGTCCAGGATTTAGTGAAGTCCAAAAACTGCTGTCCTGCAAGATTTACGACTGCACAAGTTTTCTTTGGGAGCCCATTTAATTCAAGCATGGGCCAGGAGATATTATTTGCACCAGGCATGCGGGCCACATTGACTACATTGTAACCCTTTAATGTAACGAGATCACTTAAATGTTTGCCTATAAAGCCTGTACCGCCACCTAGAACCAAATGCTTTCACTTACTTTTTATAAAGTATACATATACATACATACAAAACACCTATTTCACACATGTGTATTTCTCCGAAGGGGTAAGCAGAAGCGTATTAAACGCTCACATTTTACTTACAATAATGTTAATCTTACTTATGTAGTAGGGGGCAAGCCCTTTACCGTCAATCGGGCACTTTAGGGAGTTGATGGGAAAATTTGGAGATCCATGTTATTACTTAAGACAATGCCCGCACTAGGAATATAATTATCTTGTGTCGCGGGGACTTACAAATTTAATATTCGAAAATTTGTTATCACAGAAAACAAAGAACAACAACACAAAAATTAATTGACAAGAATTAATTAAATGTTCAGACCTTTTTTTTCGTGTGTAAACCCCTAAGGGTTATCATGGCACCGGGGCTCACGATGCTCCTCTCACGGGACACCGGAGTTCCCCGGCGTTAACAACACAAGTACTTTACGAAACAGTCGTGGCCGGTTAGTACAGGTACTGACCAGCCACGACTGTTTCGTAAAGTAGGGTACAGTACAGTACAGGTACTGGTCAGCCGGAAGCAGCTGCGATACTCCCTTTTTTTATGGAGTGGGGGGGAAACGAGCAGACGGGTAACCTGATGGAAAGCGACTACCGCCGCCCATGAACGCCAACCTCTTTTCTTGAAGGTTTGAAGGTCGTATCGATCCGGAAATACCACAGCCGACAACTTGTACCACAGATTAGTAGTGCGAGGCAAAAAGTGTCTTGAGAAGCGCACAGTGGTGGAACGCCAATTACCCAAGTGGTGGGGATGAAAATTTTGCCGTGTCGAACGATGGCGGAAGGTTGTGGCTGGTATTAGTCCGAAGAATTCCTGGGAGCACTCTCCATGATATATACGATATAGAATGCAGAGCGAAGCTACATCTCTACGTAACGCCAAGGGTTCGAGCCGGTCGCAAATCTTTTGGCTATCGACGATTCGAGTCGCTCTTCTTTGGATTCGGTCCAGAGAGAGAAGCTGGTACTGTGGTGCCCCTGCATAGAGATCAGAGCAGTATTTCATATGCGGTCGTACTTGCGTCTTATAGAGTTGGAGGCGATTGCCTGGAGTGAAATACTGCCTCGATCTGTTCAGCACACCAAGCTTCTTCGAGGCCAATTTGACCTTACCTTCTAAATGACCGCGAAACTGAACTTCGCTCGATATCTCGATGCCTAGGATTGCAATACTTCCTGAGGCAGTTAGGGAGGTGCTCTCGAACCGAGGCGATACGACAAACGGTATCTTTTTTGCGGTAAACGGGAAAACCTGTCTTTTTTTAGTTAAAATGGACCAGATACAGTCGACCCCAAGCTGAAACCTCCACTAAGGAAGCTTCAACTTCAGGTTCAAGTTCGTTACGACTCTCGATGACGTTTTCCCGAGAAATATTGGGACGGCCGGTATAGAAGGCTTCTCCCGTGCTATCTGCATAGCAATGGATGCCACTAGTTCGTAACATATTATTGATATGCAGAAGAAACAGTGTGGGTGATAGCACACAGCTTTGCAGTAAATGCTGGTGTCCCCAGCATTAACTGACTTCAAGTCAGACCTGTCGTCACTTCTACCTGAAAGGAAATTGGTGACCCAGGTACATAATTTCTCGGGAAGCCCATAGGAAGAGCTTCGAGAGAAGCGCCCTATGCCACACCCGATCGAAGGACTTTGCTATGTCCAAGCTTACCGCACAAGCCTCTCCCTTGGTCTCGATCGCCTGTGCCCACCGGTGTGTTAGATAACAAGAAGATCACCAGCTGAGCGAGCCGGCGAAAAACCATATTGTCGATCATTGAGTAGCTGGTGATTTTCCAAGTACCGGAGGAGCTGGCAGCTGATTAAGGATTCCATAACCTTAGAGAACAAGGGAGTTATGGCCATAGGCCTGTAGTTGGACGGATTAGAGCGAAAACCTTTTTTAGGGATCGGGTGCCTATCAAGCCAATCCTCCAAGTTGGTCTTAATGCGGAAATTTTGGCGTGCCGTGCGCACGGTCGCTCAAGTCGTTCTTTCCACTTCGCCATTAGGAGCTGAGATATTTGCAGCAGCTACATTTGCAGCAGCTTACATTTCCTAAGGAGTGGGCTCAGGTCCTGTTCCTTCCACCCTTGATAGAACGACGCAAGGCTCTTAGCCTTAGGGTACCAGGGCGCAGATCCGGCTAGGAGATTCGCCCCTTCAAAGGAAACAGTGCGGTATCTCATGATGATTCCGGCGTAGATCAGCAGACAGCAGATACATAGGTCTGTTGGGCACCCCACTTTTTGGCTGTGGACCAGTTTTCCTATCTACCACAATTTGAAGAACATGCCCATCCCTAACTGTTTAAAGATATGCCATGCAAAAATTACACAAAATTATATATGCATTAGGAACAAAGTTTTTTTAGTGTTCTTATAATAATTATTTATTATAATTTAAATTTAGAAACCAATTGTATGTTTGTTTGATGAACCAAAAAAGTACTTTTCTAGAATTTGAAAAAAATTCACCCATAGATAGCTACATTACTATTCAGTAACAAACCATCTATTATTTTCAAAAATAATTATTTTAGAAATGTAATCTAAGGTCATCAATCTCTACAATCATCAAAGTCTCTACAATCCTTTATTTGAAGTGTACTGTGTTAACTAAGTTTTATAGAGAAAGTAATATACTACTTGTAAAAAACTAATAATTATCCCCAATAAAGTTTGCAAAGCCATCTAATCATGTATTAGTCAAGATATTTGTGGCAGAAAATGGGGGAGGCCTTATACCCGGGTTACCTGCACTTGGTGAATTAAAAATGAAAAAATTGCCGAAAAGCAGTTTCCTGTGAGCCCATAGTATATTCCAGTCAAGTTGGCCAAAATTTGCTAAAAGCTTAGCATATCCACAGTGAAAGCACACAACTACAGTAAAAGCATGACTCTCCTACGGTATACTTTTTGGTATCCAGATATTAATGCAATGTGTTATGATATTCATATCATGTAAATTCCTCTAAAAATTATTTGGAATTGATTTTTTCCTTTAGTTATATTGAAATAACATAAATAATATATTGAAATAATGGTATAATTAATGCCATATATAAAATACCATACATATTAGGTATATTGAAATAATGGTGTAAGGTAAGCAAACAGCAACAATACTAATTTATTTAAGTTCAATACAAAAAAAAAAAAATTAAGTGTAGGTATGTCAGTTTTAATAAATGTATAAGTAGAGATGTCTAAGAAACACTTATTTGTACCTAAATTTGTAAATCTATTATCAATTTCATCAGTCTCCATGAAATAGACAGATTTTCACAAAACTTTCACTTAATTGTTTGCATAGTGAAAAACTATATGCATACTGGGTGTATGCATATTTTTTTCATTTAAGATCTAACTTAGTGATTTGGTGAAAAGATAAATGTATAAAAGAAACATTTTCAAATCTCGTATCTTTTCACATACATTGCGGCAATTTAGTTTGAAGCAATTGGAATATGAGAGAAATGGGTCTTAAAACTTTCACAATTTGCGGGCATACTTTGATACCGGTAACTACCAGTTCTTGGTTATTCTATCTAAAATAGAAATATTGTAACAATATCCAGTTATTTTTAATTAATGCCTACTAATAGGGTTTAGGAAGGTGCTCCATTGCGTGGACAGTGATTGCTGCAAAACAATAAGAGTAAAATCTAATCATACCGATTACAATTGTCCGGGCTGCCATTCTTATATAATCAGATTACAGTACGTTTGACAAAAAACATGTAGCCAATGATGATACAATTTCAACATCTACTAATTAAACTATTAACCAAACTAAATTTAGCATTCAAGTCACAAGTAAATTTTGTTTTCAACGAATATCTATAACCCGAGTTTCAATTCAAAATACGAAATATCAATAACATAGAGTACACGAATTTGACGAAATTGTACACGAGTTTGTTTAGATACTGTGGCGACATCTCTAACTTAGTTTTTAAACTTTTTGATAGTTGTTAATAAAAAATTAAGAACTAACTAGTATCTTATCTTGTTGGAGCTCAATAATTTTGAATATAACAAGTAGCTTGCTACATTATACTAATCTGTGATAACAAGCTAGCTAGCGCATAGATTTCAGCAATGAGAGCAGTGGAGCTGACTCAGTCAGAACACCTAGTGTTAAGCGTTGATGATTAAGTGAAGTAAGATCTAAACTTTTGAAGGTCAATTCTCGAAATAAAAATTCGTTCAAAATTTAGTTCCGATCTACTCTCTCTCGATCTCACATATGTCATAAAAAGTATTCTCGCGGTAACGTATTAAACATCTAATGTTGACTTTAATGTCCAATGTTGAATTTAAGTTTATATTGTGTCGGCAGTCTATCATTCTTTCAACATAAAATGAAAGATCTCAAACAAAGACAAAAATCTATTGAGGCGCTCTCCCAAAACACGAATGACAACGCTCTGCAAGCCTCTTTTAGAGTGAGTTATTTAATAGCTAAGCAAGCGAAACCTCACACTATTGGGGAGAACCTTATATTGCCTGCAGCAAAAGAGATAGTGAAATGTATGTTTAGAGAAAAAATGGCAGGAGAACTTGATGTTATTTCTATGTCAAATAACACTGTCTCTCGTCATATTGCAAACATGTCAGAGAATCTGAATACCCACCAAATTAATTTTTACCCACCAGATTTTAGAAAGCGATTACTTTGCCATACAACTTGATGAATCCACAGACATAACAAACATGGCTCAACTTTTAACGTACGTTCGTTATGTTCATTCCAAAAAGTTTCATGAAGAATTCCTGTTTTGTCGTACCCTTTCGATTCGCACCACCGGGGAGGATTTATTGCATATGGTCGACAGTTTTGTAAAAGAAAACCAATTGGATTGGTCAAAATGTGTGGGAATATGTACTGATGGTGCCAGAGCAATGACTGGTCGTTTTTCAGGACTTTTAAAGCGGATACAAAATTGAACACCACAAGAATAAAATGGACGCATTGTGAAATTCATCGAGAGGCACTGGCTTGTAAAAAAAATCCAGCCAGCTTAGATATTACTCTCAAAAATGCTGTAAAAATTGTTAACTTAATCAAGGCCCGTGCCACAAACTCTAGAATTTTTGCAACTATTTGCAAAGAGCTTTGCAGTGAACCCTGTTGTTACATTCTGAAGTGCGTTGGCTGTCCAGATGAAGAGTTGTTTTGAGAATGTTTGAGTTAAGACATGAAATTGAGTTATTTTTGGTCGAGCAGGGACACGATAAGTACAAACAGATGCTGACTGACTCTTTTTGGGTGCAAAAATTGGCTTACTTGTCAGATATCTTCACAAAATTAAATGAGTTGAATTTGGGACAACAAGGCCGTGATACAACAATATTCACTATGCAGGAGGAAGTTGAGTCCACTATAAAAAAACTATCTCTCTGGAAATCTTTGATTGACAAGTCTAAATATGACCAGTTTCCGAATCTGAAACTTTTTTTGGATACAACTTCTTCGACAGTAAATGAAGATTTAAAATCGGACACAAAATACCACTTGCAAAATCTGAGAGTGGCTTTACGCAGTTACTTCCCAGAAATATCGCCGCAATGGAACTGGGTAACCAGTTCCATTGTTTACACAATCCTTTCGCGAACCATTCCGTCGACCACCTACCCATCTCTAATCAAGAGGAATTAATAGACATCTCATGCAACAGCAGACTCAAGAGTTGTTTTGCACAGCAATCACTGGGTGATTTTTGGGCTAATTTAAAAGATGTTTATCATATCAGCGAATCAGCAATAAAATATTTACTGCCATTTTGCACAACCTACCTTTGCGAAAGCGGATTTTCGGCCATGATGAACTTAAAACTAAACATCGTCACAGACTTCAACTTGAAGACGATTTAAGACTGAAGCTGACTGAAGGATAACCAGATTTTCAAGAACTGTGCAAAGAAAAACGTGCACATGTATCACATTAGCGTCTTCGCTAATACATCATATTATTTTGATTTTCACTATTGTACTGTAATTTGAAAATAATAAATGTTATTTAAACTGACTTATTTTTTTTATTTATCACTATTAAGGGGTACACAGGTTTGAGGTCTTTTTTGAAGTGGTACGCAGCAAAAACTAATTGGGAACCACTATTCTAAAGGCCATCGGTGGCTGGTCAGACAGGTTTATTTTGTTTGTGACTTTGTGACAAACTATTTATGCATATGCCAGACGACAGTGCAGAGTATTAACTGTAGTGTTTTTGCCACTACGACCTGAATGTTGATGTGTCTCATCAACTAATACAACCGAATAGATATTTACGATAAGAGGCATGCGAGCAGAAGACCGGTTATCGGTTTATCGGCGTCTCGGCACTGAAGGAACTTAGTCCGGAAAAGCCATATCAGTTTAAATCGACTGAAAGTTTTTTTTCCGATTCTTACACCATTTCTCACTTAAACAGTTACTAAAATTATGTTAATAGGTAAACTAACTTACTAGTTCCTAAACAACATTGTGAAGAAATATTAAAACTTCGAAGTCATGAATGATGTTAAATATTAACCGACTAAAATTAATGAAATCAACTTAGCTTAAAGGTCCTGGTTGCCAACTCATAGAATTCGAAATAAAGTTGCGGCAAAGAGAAAAGATTTATAAATTGACAGTTTTGACAGTTGACAGTCTAGTATACTCTAGTTTTGACACAATAATTTATACTTTACTTTGATTATTTTTAAATAGCAGGAAGCCACCAAACTGAAGTTAAAGTTGATTATTTTTAAGTTTTTGTTATTTCCTTCAATTAGAAGATATTAAATACTGAATATCTGCAAATAATATCTAATATCTTATTCAACACGCTGGTTAGATCCATAAAAGATAATAGTAAAAACGCTACGTTCGATTAACTTATCAAAGAGTATGATACAAACAGTCACTCCGCCTTGACACTACTTATATTTTGTTTATTTTTATTATACATATTTCAAAACAATAATAAACTAACATTGTTGTGTGTGGTTATCACATAGATCAGTGAATACAATAGTATATAATCCGAAGTTATAATGATTCCTCTTTATGTTGAAAAGAATGGCATTGCCTACGTTTGGAATTCTGACGGTAAGAAATTCAATAATTAAAAGCATTTTATTATTAAAATAATGTTTAAACGATGTAAAAAGCATTCTATCTAAATATATAAGAATGTTAAGTTGCTTTTATCTATTTTTGCCACTATGGTAGCACAGCAAAGTGTGGCAGGGTACAGCTAATAGTTAATGAATTTGAAAGTTTGTACAATTTTTTGATAATTGTTTGACTAGATGCAGCAAAAATTATGCTAAAGAAGACTATTTGATGAATTTATGCCTCTATTCCAGACTGGTATAAGTTACGAGCGGAATATCGGATATGTGGGGCTCTTACTGGATCTGCTCCTGTGCACCCTAGGCAGAATGAGTTTTTAGGCAAGTATGTTATTTATTGTACCTAATTTTATAGGTTTACTTAAATGATATTATTATTAAAAGTACTAGGATATAAGACAACTGTTTTTTTAAAACATTTTTTTAATTAAAAAACATAATTTATTGTATAATGAGGAAACTGACACGCAAAAATATTTAGTTTTATACCATTAACTTTTTTGTGGTTTTTAATTACAGTGATTAAGTGTAACGAAAGATAAAAAGAAGTCTGAAAGAATGACCACAAGTTAATTTAAAGAAATATACACACTTTTATACCACTTATCTACATGAAAATAACAAGAAAACCTTGCCCTGTTTCTATTGAATCCCCTGCTAGATACATTGCACTGATCACTTTGGCAAGGTGATAAACCTATAGCAAAAAGGGATTGACCAATAAAAGAAAAAATATTATAATTTTCTTCTTTCTTTTTCAAAGTCACTCATATGTTTGGTTGCCTGAGGCTGTGAAATATTAAAAATAGTTTTACTGTACACAAATCTTGGATTGGAACTCCATGAATCTTCTTGGCTACACTATTGTCTAGAAAATGCTTAAGACAAGTAGGAAAAGAAAGCCTGTAGCCCATAATTAATAGTTTTACACAATAAAATATTTTATGATTTCAGGATTACCTTTGGCATTAAAATCAGAGGAGGCTGCTTTATTGGTAGAAAAAGGTGTCTGTACTTTAATTCAATTACCAAATATAAGGTCAAAGCCAACTGAAGAAGAAAAGCAGGTGGTGAAGGAATTGGAAACAAAGTAACTGTTTTTAGATTATGTTTGTCCTTAATTATGTTTTTTAATAAAATAAAAAAATGTTAGAGAAAGTGACTATCCCCGCCCATAAACATCTGCAACTCAGGAGTTTGTGACTCCTGAGTTGCAGATATTTATGGGTGGGGAAATGCGTTGTCGGCCTTTAGATCTTAACTTTTAAACTTCTTTTAAAACACTTAATTTTTAAAGATCTGAGTTTTAAGTTTTAATGAAGAGTGTTTTTATTAATATTATATACTTAAATGCTTTTCAGTGCTATAAAGGAACAAAAAGAAGCCTTAAGAAAGCGTAAAATTGAGCAACTATCACAGAAAATTGATATTATAATTGCAGGGAAGCAGCAAAAGTTGATATCAAAAGGAATAGTAGGTAAGATACCTATGTTACCATCCAAATGGATTTGCATATATGCTTAATCCTGTTGTTTAGTTATTGAGTTTTTTAATGTGAATTATAAATATAAAAAACGATATGTTACGTATTACTAGCAATTCGCCCTGGTTTCGCACGGGTCCAATGTAGATACCACTTTTGTGGTGTCAGAGTGGAGGAATTAATCATAGTATTATTAGGATTGGACTATACTACAGGATTATATCTTCTAAAATATTCATTTTAATGATATGCTGTAAAGAGCAATTTTAATCTACATTAAATGCACAACGTATGTAATGTATTTAATTGGATGAGTAATAATGTTGTATTGCTTAAAATAGCTTCGTAAATAACCCTTTATTTTCTTGTAATATTTAAAAGATAAAAATTGTTATTGTGGGTTATCCTTAGGAGATAGACATATACCATCGGTGACTTTTATGTAGATCTTTTGAAGATGTACAATTCCGTAGTACATTATATTGGTCTTATAAGGATTGGTCTGTGTGGTGACGGATTAAGAATACAGAGTGTCACCACCCCTATTCATCCCGTGGGTGTCGTAAGAGCCTACTAAGGGAAAAAACTAAGCAGGACAACAGCATTGCAGAGAGAAGGAAAACTTGACACAAACCCTTTACCAACCCGTCTGGCCAGCGTGGTATAGTAGGCCAAAACCTCCTTTCTCAGGAGAGGCTTATGTCCAGCAGTGGACTATTAAAGGCTGTTGATGATGATGATGATATAAGGATTAGTCAGCATTGGCAATGTAAGTGTGCGAAACCATGTTTTTTAAGACAAATCTTTGAAAGTCTCGGATTTTCTTTAATATTAGATATATATAAACCTTCCTCTTTAATCACTCTCTGTATTGGTGCAAACCGCATTAAAATCCGTTACTTAGTTTAAAAGACTAAGCATACAACAACAAAGTTACTTTATTTAAAACTATGTAAAGATAGAGGCTTCTTCGAATCTGAAACTATTGTATAATTTTCTCTAATGTATAAAGCTTGTAAATTTCACAGGTGTCAAGATGGATAAGGAAACATTATTACAAGAAGAAATAAACAAATTACCAGATATTGCTCCAGTCCATATACTAACACATTTGCCTCTAGAACATAATTTATCAACAGGCAAGTATTCTGCAGGAGTAAATTGTTTGACACTTCATTTTTATTGTAGCTTCAGAGAGCCCTTGAATTAATTCCACCTTTCGGTATTGCGAAAAACTTGCCATTCATAGACTTAATTTTAGTTATTTTTTTTAGTTATGTTCAGTTAAAACATAGCAATATTTAATTCTTGCACAGCTTGCAAGGAATTAAATATTGCTTTACAACTTTTTGTAAGCAAACTCTTTTAATCTAATGCCAGTCGCTACCCTAGCACCCTAAACAGCACAACCCTAGGAACTAGTGCTCTCTGTCAAACAAATTATCTTGACAACCTTAAAAATGTTTAGAAATAAGCTAAATAATAAGGAAGTTTTGTTTACCTCACCTGAGTTTGACATAAAATGTAAAGGAACATACATTTTTATTGAAATTAGTAACAAAAACTAAAGAAACACATTATTTTCAATACTTTTTCAGAAACGGAAGTGGTCAGCATAGATGTGTTGAGGCCTAGTGTTGTTGAGGGACCTGGTGCCCTTAAGTATAAGATTTTTAAGAACTTATGGGAAAATGATTATTATATAACTAGTGGATCCAAATTTGGATGTGATTACCTTGTATATCCAGGTATTGTTTAAATTTAATGTTTATTAAGTCTTATAGATATTTTAAATGATAACTTGAACTTTGGTTCCAAGTTTTTTCAACTGTTGATTAAGGAATTAAATCAAACCTATGATATTTTTTTTATATTAGCCTTAGTGTTATTATGGTTGTTTTCATTTTAATTAAAGAAAAAGTGTTCCACCTGTGAGGGAGGAGCAAAAAGAAAGAAAAAAAAGATTGATATAAATAAGCTCAAATAGAGTACTTAAAAGTAAACAAGCCCACAGAGGACAGTAACTTGTTTTTGTTAAATTGTATCACACTCTTAAAAGCCTTCTTGTGGCCATGAGAAGAATTCTTATATTGCAAGGAGTTCTAATAAATCTCTTTTCTATGTGATACAATTAATTGATCAATATTTCAGGGGATCCAGTCAGATTCCACGCCACTTATATGGTCAGATGTGTTTGTGATCAAACTGTTGAAATGAGCCCAGCAGAATTTGTAGCATTTGGAAGACTTTCTGTTTCAGTTAACAAACTGGCTGTTTTTGCTTTTATTAATTGTTCTGGCGATGTAGAGTTTCAAACACTGCAGTGGCATGAAAATATTATAAGAATAAGTAAATAAATGTCGTAAATAAACAATTAATTAAAAAATATAAATTTAATTTAAACTGTATCTTTATATTTTTACTGACCTAACCCATTACGACCAATCCTTAACAAGAGTAATAATAACATGAAAATTATTGAAATACTTTTACTATTCGTTGTTTTGAAAAAATAGCGAAATTATGCTTTAAGTCTATTAAAGGATTGATACTTGACTGCACGGATGGCGTCGTAGTTTAAGCGGTCACCACGCCGCTTTTTGCTGCGCTGAGTGTTGTGTGTTCGATTCCCTAGTGTGGGTTGTCTTAAAAAAAAAGAACACTTAAGGACGAATGTTTAATTTAAATTATCGAATCTTAAATAATATTATAAGTTTACCAAAATGTTACCAGTCTTTAATCAAAGTTATATTTTAAATTCTTCGATACCTCTTTTTTTTTGGTGACTGGGTGGAAAATCCCTTCGGATCTCCGGCTCCTTGGGGATATAAGAGCCAGGAATATGTGGTGTTTCCACTAAAAGCCAGGCTTCGGCGCTCTGCTCTAGGGAGAACCATTTGGTTTCAGATTCCCCCCAGAGTGACGCCGCACCTAACTAGGCCCTCTCTCGGGGGAAGCCAGTGGCTTCTTCCTGCCTGTCAGCCCATTCAGATGTTGCGCTCTGATGATCATTCGCAATCAGGCTGCAATCCTATCTCCTACCGTAGCAATTAATCTGCCACTAGAGATCCCCACTCTCTGGCGGCCTGCGGTCCCTTTGGCGGCTCATATCGCCACCGATGTCTTCTCCGCTCGGGATCGGTCCTCTCCCGAACCCGTTCAGCGATCTCTTTCCGGAGCATTACAGCTTCACAGAAAGAGACCACTGCGCCCCAGCCCTCCTCACCCGCCGGCATAGCAGCAATGATTGCTAGCGGGGACAGGTCTCGTCCGATTTGGTCGACCAGGACTTCGCGTCCAGATGCCCACGCGGGGCAGTCTTCCAGCATGTGCTAGGCGGAGTTCCAATCGGCCGCGCAGTGCTGGCATTATGCCTGTGTGATTCAGGTACTCTCCGAAGCAGCCATGCCTAGTGAGCATCTGAGTCAGTCGGTAGGTGACGCGACCTCCCTCCCTACCTACCCAAGCTTCGAGGTTAGACAAAACGGCACCGACCTAACGTAATCTGCGGCTGTTCCAACCGCGCCCGCCACTACGCCAATGCTTGTCGGTGTGCGTTCCGTCGCATTTCGAGCTCGTCCTGGTCGTCCCTGCTCTCCATAGACCCTCGCATCCATATCCGCCAGGATATCAAAAGGCGGGAAACGTGCTAGGACTGTCGCCTCCTCCGATGAAAGCGTGCGGTAACCCCGTACGATCCGAATGGCCGCCACCCGCTACGCTTGATTGAGCTTAGCTCGACAGTGTGAGGAGGCTGATAGGCGCTTGGCTCATTTTGGCTCTCCGCACAGGGCCATGGATCCTATCACCGCATTACTGTGCGGTGATAGGATCCATGGCCCTGTGCGGAGGCGGCGAACTTCCTCCTGCGGATCCAGATTAGGCAACATCCTCAGTAGGGAGCCCGCCACCCCGCGAACTCGGAGGAAATTCTGCGATACCTAATACAAACATGTAGGTTACAAACTTACGAACATACAGTACGATAAAACTTAATAAAAAATAAGAATCGCATATCGTTATAACTAATTAACTGCGTTGCAGTATTCAACCTACTGGAAAGTTTCTGTATTATAAACGGAACGTCATTTTTATGTTATAAATGTCAAATAGACAAACATCAAAGATAAAACCATTATCCTGCAGGTATAACGATACTTTATTATAATACAATACTGGTTAAACAAATATCATAGAAGATGGACGATCCAGAATTAGATAAAATCAGACAACAGCGACTTGCTCAATTGCAGGCTCAACAAGGGGTATGTATGAGTCAACATAACAGTACAGGTTAGGTTACACATACTGCTATAATTATGCGCTTACTGTTAGGCATGTATGCATATAATATTGTACCGACTGTACCTGTAAATGTAACCCTTTGTAAAATTGATAATTAACCTTATTTTCCAGGGGACTGGTGATCCTAACCATGCAAAAAACCAAGAAGAGAGAATGCAGGCAATGGAAGAAGCGAAACTCACAATTCTTGCACAAGCGCTCAGTCAAGATGCAAGAGCCAGATGTATGTATTAAGATGTATATTTTTTTGGTCATACATCAAGATAGATGTATTGTAAGTTGGGCACCTATCATACTTTTGAATAGACACATTCTGTAACAAAAAAGTTTCAGTAATCTATGTCTGGGTTTTTATTCAATAATTTTCACTATTGTTTTCATAAAATTTGAAGGGAGCTTAAGTAATACGGATCTTTATCAGCATCCTGGTGACATGAGTGATCACTAGCATCTAAACCTTTATTTCACAAAAGTCTTGTAAATAATCCATTTTATCTACACATAAAAATGTGATGTTGCTTTGTGTACACTTCAAAAATTATACAAGTTCTGTACCATCAGCAGCCTTTCATTGTCCACTGCGGGATATAGCCCTCTAGTTAGAAAGGAGGATTGGGCCTACTATACCACTCTGGGCAGACGGGTTGGTATAGGGTTTGTGACAAGTTTTCTTTCTCATTGCAGTGCTGATGTCCTGCATGGTTTGCTCCCTCAGTCTGCTCTTACGACACCCACGGGATGAATCAGTCCAATTTTCCAGATCAATTTTGTTGTTGTAAATCCAATTCTATGTGCCATAGTGAAGCATGACAGGGTATAGCTGGTATTAAAATAAATATTGATGACATCCCTAATAATACTCAGAAAACTTTTCACAATTCATATAATAGTATATTTCAAGTAGTTAATAACAAAATTCATCCGAAAACTATAAAACTTGAGAGATCAATTGTAACTAATTTTGTTTTTGTGTGTCTAAATGGACTAAACATTTTTATTACAAGTGTAATTCTTCTGTATTTAATTTTCAGTGAACACTATTAAACTTAGTAGGCCCGAAAAAGGTGCTATGGTTGAAAACATGATCTGCAGAATGGCCCAGATGGGACAAGTTCGTAACAAAATAACAGAGCAAGAGTTGATACAGCTTCTAGAATCCCTCAATTCACAGATGCCTAAGTCATCCAGCACTGTTAAGTTTGATAGGAGAAGAGCAGCACTGGATTCTGATGATGAAGACTTCTAGCATTTACATCTTCTAGCTTTTTAAGACTTTATATACTTAATAAACAACAATACCTGTCATTGCAATGCCTTAACTCAATAATAAATGCTTATTTATAATGGAAATGTATTTTCATAAAAATATATTATCAGAAAAATTATATATTTTATAGCGTAGTTGAAAAATGGTTATGTCATCGGATCATATATTATATACATCATCATACACTTATCATTATTATTGACAATGCCTTTTTTTAAATATCACAGTAGGCAAGAAATATATAAAAAAAAGTATTATGTCAAAGAGTAGATATTATAGCATTCTAGGTGTTAAGCAGGAAATCAGAATATTATAGTCAAAACTTGATACTAATTCAAGAATAATGTAATTATCGCAAGTCAAATGCACATTACAACATGAGAAAATTTCTTAGCCCAAGCGACTGTCATACTTTGAAGTTGCTGTTGTTTTATTTTCATAAATCTATCATTCTACATTTAAAAACTTAAACTTCTGTTCACGAATTAATTACCTAACTTCCGCTCCCATGCAGATTACATAAATACCACACGCTCGATCTCTAGCAAAACTTATACACATAAGCCGTTAAAATTTGGTACCAAAATGGTACCTGAGACGGCGTGCGGTTTTAGTCGGTTCGAGTCCGACATTGCTACCGGTAAGAAAAAAAAACAGAAAAAAAAGGTGAACTCTTAATTAATGCATGCATATTTAATAAAAAAATCTTTAATGTTATAGCAATAAAAATATATCTGTCGTCATAAAATTAAATAAATATACAATTATAAAGTAAATAATCTTAAAAACTACTATCTTAAAGACTTAAATAATAACATATTCTTGACCTAATATTGACAATTTAGTTGATAATTTGTTTTAAATATTTGCTTTTGAAGAAAAACCATTTTTAAATGGTTCTGCCAATCATAATCTATCTTACTGCTGAAAAATCCACCTATTTCTCCATTATCACTTTATCATCCTCTATTCTTGATGGGACACGCCTGCTATGGCACACGTAACAATTAATTTGTTTAGTACTCTGATTGCAGAGCTAGATACTGACAATTCCGTAGCCGACAACAAGGAAACAACTATTCCGTAACAACTAACTGAGACTTGTGATGAAATCATTTACTTACTGAGAGATATGCGAGAATGTATGATGAATGCATAGGATGTGCGAGTTTAATTTGCGTCGTCACTCAAAAAAAGGTAAGACTAATTAGAAGTTGATCAAAACATATGGATGGGGTCGGTAGATTACACAAGAGCGAGAGATCTGCAAATTATTGCTCAAATGAAAATAAAAGGGTTTTGCGGTTGCCGGCATCTTGCATTGAAGGAGCCAAAATCATCTTAAAGCTGAAGGTTTTTGGAACCATCGCGTATTGATTGAAACTTCGATATTGGAAAATAGATTATTACATTTTTTTTATTTATGAGAAATCTGAGAACTTAGAAATGAATAATTCTTAAATAAATCAATATAAGCTTAGATTTTAAACTAGCGGACCCGATAGACGTCCTGTACACACGTCTTAAATCCGAAAATTTCAAACTTTTCTAAAAAACCTCATTCTCGAATCCACTTGAACACAAAAAATTTCATCCAAATTGGTCCAGCCGTTTAGGAGGAGTTAAATCACATACACGAGCACAAAAGAATTATATATTATATATGAAGATATGTATATTGACATGACTTTTTGGATAAAATTTCAAATTTAGATAAAGTGCGTTTACAGTTTATCTCAGTTAGAGTTTTCTTAAAGAAGGCATTAATTTTACTCAAAACAAAAATGCCAAAATTGTATTGGTCTAGTGGTTAGTGACACTGACTGCTAAGCTCGTGGGTTCGATTCCCACCCAGGACAAATAATTGTGTGTTGACAACGATCATTGTTTCTGTGTAATTAATCTATAATATGCCTGTATTTAGTAATATATAAGTATGTTTAGCAGCAGTCTGGTTACGATAGTACTGACTTTGTCTAGTTTGAGACCAGACGGCCGTGTGTGAGGCGTGGCAAGTTATTAAGTATTCAAGAATTGCAAGGTAGTTTAATAATATGGTAAAAAAACTGATTTATAAAAAGATTCGAAAATCAGTAACTAAGTAAGTACAATTATTTCATTAATATATAATCCAGAAAATGTTCTGTTCCCGAAGCATAACAATGATGAGAGCGAAGTAAAAGAAAAGAGAGTACCCACGTAGGCATGTGTTAATGTTCATTTCTGCACGCTTTAACCTCTGAAAGTATATTCATGAAATTTGGCACACGGAGAAGGTATTACTAAGATTTACTAACTTAAAAGGCGATAAACCTACATTAAAAAAAATGCTCTGATACAATTAAACATGATCAAAAAATACCTAATGATATCGATAACTGTGCTCACTTAAATTATTAATCAAGTTTGCATATTAGCAGAAATAACATGTCAAACAATGATATTTTTCGAAAAACACCTATTACACTCTTCACATTCATTTTTGTAGACTATAGTAAAAATCCCATGATTCTTACAATCAAATAAAAATAAAAATCATCAGATTGTTTATAATATCACGACCGATCACGCGGGGAGATCTATTCACGATTTCGCCCTGACCTATGGCTTGTCACAAATGGTATCAATGCCCGCGCGCGTGGAAAGTCATGAGCCTTCACTGTTGGACCTTCTGCTGACCTCCGATCCGGACGGTTACAAAATCGCCGTTGAAGCACCACTTGGCTCCTCGCATCATTGTCTAATCCGCAGTACAGTGCCACTCACTCACTGCCGCGGCTGCGAATTGCCGCCGTGTATGACACTATAGATCAGCGGACTGGGATGCTATCACCCACACTGTTTCTCCTGCATATTAATGTCATGTTGCAAACTAGTACAAACATCCATTGCTCTGCAGATGATAGCACGGAAAATGCCCTTTACACCGACCGCCTCAATATTTCTCGGGAAAACATCATCGATAAACGAAACAAACTTGAAAAAGTGTCTCGACCAGCGCACAGTAGTGGAGCGCTAATCCACTACTGTGCGCTTTTCGAGACACTTTTTGCTCCGCACAACCAATCTGTGGAACGGGTTATCATCTGCGGTATTTCCGGACCGATACCACCTTCAAGAAAAGAGCGTACTCCTTCCTAAAAGGCCGGCAACACGTTTGTGACTCTTGAGTTGCAGACGTTCATGGGCGGCGATGGTCACTTTCCACCAGGTGCTCCTCTGCCCCCCCTAACATAAAAAATAATAAAAATAAAAACTGGTGGGTAACTGGGTAAACACTGGGTCACTTTTTTATCGCACATACCTACTCGTATCTCAAATTATCCATCAGATTGATCTGAAATGTAGTTTGATGTAATGTAAATTTCATCAGCTTTCGGAATATTACTAAATCATTGACATCTAAAGATGGAGAGCTAAGTAAATAATGCTTTTTAAAAATAAGAGGCTTTTATAGATAATAAAAAACATTTAACTATGAAATTATATCATTAAAGATTAAATAAAAAAATAACAAATTATGCTGTGAAAGTAGGTATCATAAAATTTGATAAACGAAAATTAATCAATAATAATTTGTTTTCAGTATCATAAACTAAGTTCAACGAAGATCATTTTTTACTAAGGCACATAAAAAAAATAACATTTATTTGAAAATAAAAGTAACTGTTTTAAGAATTTTTTGCAATTTTGTTAAAGCGCAGCACTTTTCAAAAACATTCATTTAAAAAAAAATTGATGTCATGTCGTGTAAAAAAATTAAATTCGTCGTTAAGTCTTTAAAATTGAAAGAAAAACTAAACAAAATGTCGAACTATTTTGCAGTGCGTAATATTGAACTCTTGACACTGCACTTACCAAAAACATTTAAAAATAAAAGTCGATATTATATCATATCTTAAAAATACAATAATTAACCACAATTTAGATTTTCATAATTTTTTATTTTCGTAAGGCACTGTTCTTGCGGATAACTGACTTAAGTTTTATTCGGACCTAATGGTCCCAATTCTGAGAATTAGGAACAGGAGATCAGTTGCCAATCACATGCTAATTTTCATCCGCAGAGACAAATTTTAGTCTTGGCTTATTTGTACTCTAAGATTTTGTTACTATGTACTATATTAATCTGTGAGTCATTTCTTGTTTTTTCTAAATAATCATCAACTATTTGCTTAATACCGACAATTTCACAATCATCTTCCGAGTCGCTTAGAAGAACTTTTCTAATACCTTTTTTCCTCTCGTGGATTGCGTTGGATTTTTTCTTTTAATAGCCATTTTATTCTTTTTAATCTCGTAATTTCCCGGTGTTAAAGGTGCAATAATAGATTTTCCTAATCACTTGGTCTTTCTTTTCTTACTCCTCGCAGCTTTGATGGCATCTATGCCTTTTGCATGTCATCCTTGGTATTTATTTCTACCCATTCGTTAATAAAATAAATACATCGTTTTGTTACTGCCTGTGTATTACGATTACGCCTAGAAAAACGATGCCTATCGCCATAACAAAAAGTACACAGTGAGTCGCAATCCATTGTGTACACAGTTAATCAGACCCACCCTTGACCATAGGTCTAATTTAAATATAAACAAGAAATAACATGTTAAAACAAATAGCTAGTCAACTATTCATGTGTTATATTATAGCATACTAACAAAATCAAAATGTGGTTCTACAATTTCATCGATATTTATTGTAAGTTAGAAATGATAAACAAAATGTCAAGTCACATTCCAAAATATTTTAACACCGTCATAACGTAATCGGGCTCGTACGTCGTCTAATGAGCACGGCCACACGGGACCTTGCAGAGGTGGGATTGCGTGCTGGGGCCGTTTGTGGGCGAATAAGCAGCAGCGCTACCTATATTGGTTATGTCAATATGTGTATGACCCACTGTACCCAACTGATCTAACGTTTACTCAGTTACAGTTTTTCTTTTTTTTTTTTGCGTGCGGAAATCCCCTCGGATACC